ATTACTGATGAAAGTTTAGTCCCCGTTGCATCTCTGAGTTCTTGCAAAGCATGTTCTTTGAAGTATCTGAACAAAAATGGTAAATATATAAAAATGTTTTTACATATTATTTTTCAGTGACCCCCTCCAATCATAGAGGGGCATGTCTGATTCACAAAGGTAACCGTTTAACTTTTCTCTGGTAAAAAATTAATGACAACAATTCTTATTTTTATTTTTGAAAATTTATTATTTTCAATCGTGGCCACTTTAAACTATTTAAATTTAACACGCCTGAGATAGAAAAACTAGGATTTTTCCCTCATTGTTACTCAGATAGAGGTTAAAGAACACGGTTGTGAATCCTACATGTTACTCCTTAAATGAAGTGTTACTGGAAATTACGACTTTAGTCCTGAAAGTACCTGAGAACAATAGAAAAGACCTTGAGAGCTTTCATCTCTTTCCCATTCCTAGATTCGACCCAGGTATTCCGTCCTAGATACTAAAAACAAAATATTCCTAGATTCAACCCAAGTATTCCGTCCTAGATACTAAACACAAAATATTCCTAGATTCAACCCAAGTATTCCGTCCTAGATATTAAACACAAAATATTCCTAGATTCAACCCAAGTATTCCGTCCTAGATACTAAACACAAAATATTCCTAGATTCAACCCAATTATTCCGTCCCAGATACTAAGTAAAAAATATTAATTTCAACCCCGGTATACAATATATTCCTAGATTCAACCCAGGTATTTCGTCCTAGATACTAAATACAATATACTCCTAGATTCAATCCCGGTATTCCGTCCTAGATACTAAATACAACATATTTCTAGATTCAACTCTGGTATTCCGTCATAGATACTAAATACAATATAATACTAGATTCAATCCAGGTATTTCGTCCTAGATACTAAATACAATATATTCCTAGATTCAACCTAGGTTTTCCGTCCTAAATACTAAATACAATATATTCCTAGATTCAACCCAGGTATTTCGTCCTAGATACTAAATACAATATACTCCTTGATTCAACCCCGGTATTCCGTCCTAGATACTAAATACAATATATTTCTAGATTCAACTCTGGTATTCCGTCCTAGATACTAAATACAATATAATTCTAGATTCAATCCAGGTATTTCGTCCTAGATACTAAATACAAAATATTCCTAGATTCAACCCCGGTATTCCGTCCTAAATACTAAATACAAAATATTCCTAGATTCAACCCCGGTTTTCCGTCCTAAATACTAAATACAATATATTCCTAGATTCAACCCAGGTATTGCGTCCTAGATACTAAGTACAATATACTCCTAGATTCAACCCCGGTATTCCGTCCTAGATACTAAATACAATATATTTCTAGATTCAACTCTGGTATTCCGTCCTAGATACTAAATACAATATAATTCTAGATTCAATCCAGGTATTTCGTCCTAGATACTAAATACAATATATTCCTAGATTCAACCCAGGTATTTCGTCCTAAATACTAAATACAATATATTCCTAGATTCAACCTAGGTTTTCCATCCTATTCTGGTTTCCAGAGAACTAAAAATTTCGCGAAAAAATGCGAAAATTTCGTTCGATAGTTTTTTTAACATAATTAATAATTTGTTTTCCGTTTTTTCAACAACATTTTCGCACTTCTTTCTCCAGAAATTTTCGCATTTCTTTATTTCCGAAAATGCGAAATTTTCGCAAAACGAAACCCTACATCCTATAGATACTAAACACAAAATAATCTTTTTAAAAATTGACCTTAAACAACATGTTTTGCAAAAATATCCCCGCTCAGGATGGGCAACTTTTTTCAAATATTCATGTTATAGTAGTTTAAAATTGCTCTAAATGATTTCTTGTCTTCAATCAGCTTTAGTACTAGAGTTTTTAAACGAAAATTCCTTAAAAAGTTTAGACTTTTAACAATTTACTTCAATAGGTCCCTTTAATACAGAAACAACAATTAAAAATAACCTACTATAAAAAAGAAAAAATATGAAATCTACTTCATGTTTTTACGAGAAAGGCTTAACGGGTTTCGATGGGAATTTGAAAATTCCAATCTTTACATTGAAGGTCGTTTGATATTAGGTGTACAGTCTCTTTAATATTATCATATACAAGATGTTACCTATTTAAGATTCAAGTCTGCATACATACAGTAAAATGACTTTTATTTTTTATTTTATTTATTTTTGTTGTTTTCTATTAAAAATGACAAGGCAATATTTTCTTGATTATATGATATTTTTCAGATTTTGGGAGCAAAAACAGTCTTAAAGGAACCCTCGGTCCGATTCCTAGTGACCCTTAGGTAAAAGTGACACATTATTAGCCCTTTAACGGATAAAAACGAGAAAAATATCGACATTTTCTTTTTTGTCTCTCCTGCAAGTCAGATTAACAGAGAGTCCAATTAGAAAATAAAAGAACAAGAAATCATGTTTTCTGACAAAAATATATTTAAAGCGAGTGACCGGCTATGTAAGGCAGTTGAACTGAGTATGCAATGCTTTGGAAAAATTCTTTCGGATTCATTTGAGACATATCAAACTTTTTTATTTTTCGTTGTCGTTATTTAAAAATAAAAAAATTAATTCTGAAAACGTATTCAACCCCATAGTAGGAGTTTTGAACGTCGAATTTGCGCTCAAACTCAGGATTTACAGATCTTTAAAAAGTTTAATATGTCTCAAATGAATCCGAAAGAAACTTTCCACAACTCTGCATACTCAGTTCAACTACCTTATATAGCCGGTCACTCCCCTTAAAGGGTACTAGGTTGTGAATTTAGCATGCCACGCTTCAAATGAGGGGTCACACGAAATATCGTTGACAGTCCCTTTAAATGTTTGAAAATAAGGCCAAAAACGTCACCCAACCAACTCTCCTTAATAATAACCTTATTATGGTGAAGAAGCATCTTGAATTTGTCAAAATAAAACCATTTTGAAGCCTCTCTAAACAGTTTATCGACATTATGTAAATTATGTAAATTTACTTCAGAAAATTTTGACATATTTGAGAAAAGTACTCACAAAAATTTTGTTCAAAGAATCTTCAAAGATTTAAGTTAAAGATAAATTAATTTAAACTTTAAGATTTTAAAATTAGTTTAGTCTTACTTCGTAAAGTATAAAAATTTTATATCTTTCAATTTTTTTTTCTTTTCATTTTTTCATCATTCTTCATTCTTCATCTTAGATAATTTATTTCCATATTTGATTTGTGACCTAATTTTATGATAGGTTTGTCGGTTATTATTTGATAATATTTCTTACAAGTTTTTTAGATTAATCTTTAAACCAAAAATTATATCCTTTGACCGCTTTATCAATTAATTGATTTATTATTGGATCATTAGTTCAATTAAATGCTTTATCCTCTGCAAATTCAATTTATTAATTGAATTATTAAATGAATTTAATTGAATTATGAAATGGATTAATTGAATTATTAAATTGATAAATTGAATTATTAAATTAATTAATCGAATTATTAAATTGATTATATGAATTATTAAATTGATTAATTAAATTGATTAATTAAATTAATGAATTAATTAATTAAATAATTAAATTAGTAGATTGATTGATAAACTATTCCTAGTGTCCATATCATGATAGAAATCTCTAGCTGTGAACCCGAAGGAGTGAAACTCCTTATCAGGGGATAGAAGGAGAACAGTAGGAGTTTTCTGATTGTTAATCCCAGGATCATCTCCTAAACATGACATACAGTGCTAACAAAAAAACATCTGAATGTCGTCTTCTGCCATTATTCTAACTATGAAATGTTTTAAAGATTTTGTATTTTGCAAATTACAAAAATTATCGCACATACATTTTGCTAGAAAGGGATAATTGATTAATATGACGTAGCTGTCCCGTGTTGCCTGATATAGTCAGTATAATTGTACTGTACAGCTTGCTCTAGCTGCTTAAAAGTTGGGTCGGTACTTTAAATGATAAACTTACAGCGATCGATATATTTTGATTATGTTGGATTTCCAATTCAAAATCCGTCGCAAAAAATCGTAAAAGACTTTTGAAATAAATAGTATTAGATACAAAGCAAATGTTAAAAATTTACATTTTGTGGGTAAGTGGTTAGGGGTTAAGGGTAAGTAAGTGGGTTTGGAAGTAAAGGCCCAATGACTTTTATAAACCTGTCTGCACATCATTCCCTGCAGAAGCCTCACACGTTAAATTAAAGTAAATTTCACGTTAGATTGAAATCAAATTCCCGTTAGATTGAAATCAATTTCACTTTAGATTGAAATCAATTTCTCTTTAGATTGAAATCAATTTCATTTTAGATTAAAATCAATTTCACGTTAGATTCAAATAAATTTCACGTTATATTAAAATCAATTTCACATTAGATTAAAATCAATTTCACGTCAGATTAAAATCAATTTCACGTCAGATTAAAATCAATTTCACGTTAGATTGAAATTAATTTCACGTCAGATTGAAATCAATTTCACGTTAGATTGAAATTAATTTCACGTCAGATTGAAATCAATTTCACGTTAGATTGAAATCAATTTCACGTTAGATTGAAATCAATCGCACGTTTTTAATCAAAGCTCCTTTTTTCTGAACAACTTTTAATAAAGATAAAAAATTTCTAATATGCAACTAAATAAAGTTGTTATTCTCATAACAAAGCAAAAAAAACGAAAACGAAGGAGGCTAAGGTGACAAAGCCGTAACAGTAATTTCGCAAAAATGTAATTTTTAATGTACTCACCTTCCCATTTCCTCATGATCTGTATAGTATCAGGAGTATCTGTGAAACTGTAAGCATATCCACTGTATGTTGTTCCAAAATCAATAGCAACAACGACACGATGCTTTGCTGTAACCTTTATAAGACAATTATCATATAAACTTGTAATCTCTGTTTAGATGTTCGATCATAGTTCAAGAATCACTGGATCAATTTGCCTCAAATTTTGATTGGGGAACACGTGAAACTCAGGAAAAAGTTCTTAGTTTGGCTATGAGAGTCTAAGTTAAGTGGGTTTACTCTAATAGGAAAAATAGCTAACATCGTAGATTACGACCAAGTGCGAGTATATGGTGGGAGTAATTATAAGTACCCTGGGCAGCGTTTGGTTTTTAAGCATTAATTTTACAAGATTTATTCAAATTTTGAATTTTGAATTTTTTAAGCCCAATTGAATTTTAAAAAAATTGAAATTTTCTTTTAATTTAATAAAGACGTACTCAACTTTTTCTTCTCTGATTTTCAGGTAGATATATAAAGCGAGCATTCAAAAATCCATATAATTTTGGATTATATATTGTGTTTTTTTGCGACAAGACTGTCTTCAAACAACAAATCTTTGAACTGAAAAGGTAACATAAAATTGTGAACATGATATTTTTACCTGCATATTCAACGGCGAATCTCTTTCAACAATATTGTACTCTGGGTGAACTAAAAATGAGAAAGAACAATGTTTTGAATGTTCAAGTTAAAATAAACTGAACAACATTTTCGTTTGATTGTTTTTTACCTTTTTCCAGTGAAGCACTTTCACGGAGTCCATTTTCAGGAAATTTAATATTATCTTTAATTTTTCTTGGAGGTTTTTCATTGCAATTTCTTTCAAGAATATATTCTGTAGATTTTTTAACTTTATGTTCTTCATCTTTCATGGTTAATGATTTATGTTTTGAAGTTTCTTTTTGAAGAGATAATCCGTTTACTTCAGCTGTGGCATATGATGTGTGCATCTTTTGTGGTTCTTTTTTTACAGGTGATATATCCAGCTTCTGTGATTCTTTTCCTGGTGATATATTCAGCTTCTGTCTTTTCTTACAGGTGATATATTCAGCTTTTGTGATTCTTTTCCTGGTGATATATTCAGCTTCTGTGATTCTTTTCCTGATGATATATTCAGCTTCTGTGATTCTTTTCCTGGTGATATATTCAGCTTCTGGGACTCTTTTCCTGATGATATATTCAGCTTCTGTGATTCTTTTCCTGGTGATATATTCAGCTTCTGGGACTCTTTTCCTAGTGATATATTCAGCTTCTGTGACTTTCTTCTTTCTGGTGAAATATCTTTTTGATCTGAAGATACTCTCTGACTTTGTACCTTTTCTCTTTCTGGAGATAAGTGCAACCTGATGGGGACATATCCGTCTAAAACTGAGGTTTCTTCTTCTTTGGGTGTTTCATTTTCTTTGATCTCTATAATCTTGCTTGCAGGACGCCTGGTGGTTATAATAAAAAATGTGAACTATGCCTTGAATTAGGTATAAATCTTAAACCTAAAATACCCCATTTTATAAATGATTTATATATTGCCCTTATTCTTTTGAGCATTTTGTTAAAATTTGTTAATTATAAATCAGGATGTTTTCAGATTAATTGAATAGTTACCTTCCAGCAGGAGGCTTTGGTTTATCAAACCCTCTTTCAGACTTCTTTATCAATAGTTCTTGAGTATTGATCTCAATTTCCGATCTTCGCCTGCGATAATTCAAACCCGGTCCGTCTATTGGAATATTGATAACTTCATAGCTCCTGCTTGTACGTTCAACTTTTGGATGCTCGCGTAGCCAAACAACATCATCAAACTGGGAATGACGATTATGTTGTTGAACTCCTGGAGGCAGTTGATCTTGATGTTTGGCTTTAACGTCAGCCCCTAAGGTTTTCTTTCTCCTTTGATGATGTCTACAATCCACGTCAGTTTTAGTTACTATAGCCGGGATATCATATATTCTCTCAGTACTATTGTTCCGGTCATCTGATGTGATATGTTCGGCTTCATATTGTTTGCTTCTTCGTCTATACTCTCTGTGACCGCTAAAGTCTTCCTCCTTTAAAGCCTTTTCTCTGTTGAGGTTGTGGCTATTGGTATTCAAGTCTGTGAATGTAGACAAAGAAGTGGAAAGCAAGCTGTTCATACTAAAAAGTTAAATAGATTACTCCGAATAGTTTTTTTTTGTTAGTTGAGGCAGGCTTTTTGTGATCAAGATATCCAGCATTGTAAAAACTTTTTATTAAATTTAATTAAAGTTCCTACAGAACCCTTTTCATTTTGTAGCACTAACTCCATTTAATACGCGATTGAATTTTCATTTCTTTCAATAAATCTGCATGTTCCTTTCTGTTATTTAAATTAGATTCCTATATTTCCGTTTTCCTGAATTTTACATTTGTAATAAAACCAGGATCAAAGGCATGCATACCCTTTCATTTCAGTTCTAAACATTTCAAAAGAATAGAAGAGAAAAAGTTCACCAGAACATTTTTACTTTGATTTTACCTCAAAGTCTGTCTGCTTTTAGTGACAAAAACTTCAGAATTTGTTAGAATATCATCCTCATATGTTTCTATAAAAAGTAAAATAAACTATAGAAATTTTACATTATTTTTTAAAAAATAAATATGGAACTCACCTGAAAAATGTCTTTTTTCTTTCAACATTTTTATTTCTTTTTCCTTCTCCTCCTTGTAACACTATAAACGAATTTATCATTAAGATATAAAAAAGTGAGATTATTTTTTTACCTTTGACAAGGTTTTCTTCTCCTCCTTTCGTGGGGTCAATGACCTCTGTTCTTCCTTTGTAAAAGTTGAACTTCTTACTAAACCATCTTCTATGGTTGAATTTTTCATGTTTTTCTCATAAACGTTTTCTTTTTCGGTATCAACATGACGAAATGCAATTTTCCCAGGTGGCTTTGGTTTTTCCCCTCTACGGTCAGCATACGGGGAGATCTCAAAATATTTCTGATTAACATCAGAAGAAGTTTTCATGGATACTTGAGATTTACTCTGGCCATGCTTATGGAGATCTGGCTGGGAACGCCTGTGATCAGCTGACTGAGTGTAAACTTTTAAAACCGGTTCCGACTTTTCCTCTGACAAGAAAGGAAGATCTTTCTGTGACTTACAGAAAAGCACCTGAATTAGACATGCTTAATTTTCTTGAAAGGACTGTTTATCTTTCTAGGATTCCACTTATTAGCTAATAGGATTACTCTTTTACTACTTGAATTTCAGTAAATATTGATCCCAGGACTAATTTTTACCTTCCAGAACTTCTGTTTAACTTCCCAGAACTATTGTTTACTGTTTACTTATCCAGGACTACTTTTTACCTATCCATGACTACTGTTTATGTATCCAGGACTAATGTTTACCTATCCAGGACTACTGAAACCTGTCCAGGACTAATATTGACCATGTCCAGGACTAACGTTTACCGATCCCGGACTACTGTTTACCATGTCCAGGACTACTGTTTACCTATCCAGGACTACTGTTTACCTGTCCAGGACTACTGTTTACCTATCCAGGACTACTGTATACCTATCTAGGGCTACTGTTTACCTATCCAGGACTACTGTATACCTATCTAGGACTACTGTTTACCTATCTAGGACTACTGTTTTCCTACAAAGACTTCAGTGTACCTGTCCAGGACTGCTAAGTCCAGAAAATGAAGGGATCTGATGAGAATTTGTCTTTCCAGCTGGGCGGATCCTAGAATAGAGTTAAATGTTAAGGTAAAGCAAATGTTGATTAAGATATGATAACGATGCCTAATAAAATCTTAGTAACCAAAACAAATAAAAAATTTTAAATGCATATTTTGGTAAATTTACAAAAAATTTCGATTCGCATGTTTAAGACTATATATAATATTATTAATAGTGAGGAAACTGAAAATCAACTTTTTGTTCAAAGATGACTATTTTGAATCTGAAATGACGGTGAAAATTATGGTGTATCTTTTTCTGTAATAACCAGTTTTTTTTAGAAAATACATTATAATTGATATATAGCTAGAATTTAATAAAATGAATAATCATCTGTATTACCTATCCCCCCCCCAGCCTAAGATGAAAATATAAAGAAAGACGAGATTTTACACAAAATAATGATTACTTTATTTAAAGCTGGTTTTTGGTATTTAACAGTTTTCATTGAATCCCGCTCTATCTACAAGTATACTGGGACCGAATTTATTAAAGCGAGGTTGCTGAACTGCCGACTAGTGTTTCCAACGAAAGTGGATTTTACTTGCGCGCAATGGCAAGCCCTTGTGCGCAAGTGAATTTAATTGTGCACAATTCCGTAATAATTGCGCGGAGTAAACGCAACGGAATTGCTCGCAGTTATAACGGAATTCCGACCAACTTTCTTGCGTTTGTGTTTCAACTTTTTGATAATATTCAATTTAAACCTTCTGGCACGCAAAAAATGCAATTTATTATTGCGCAATTCCTTTCAACAACAAAAAATTCGATTTAAACTTTGTTAGTGGCATACAATAAACTGAACTGCACTAAAATTTCAGTCTCAAATGCTAAGAAAATTGAATTTAAACTTAATCTTTTGTTTTATAAAATTCATTTGCACCGGATAACCAGAAAACTCTGAAAGACGACATTTTAGACTCAAGCAGACCAATGTAACTGAATAAGTGATTTAATAAGATACTAATTAATGTTTTTTGCTAATTTGTAACGCCATCAAATACACTGTGATGTTGTCCTTCTGTTCCATAGTTTTCTGGTTCTCAATGTAGCAAAATATCTAATTTTGATTAAACGAACCTTACAATTTTAACCAAAAAAAGTTTCCATTTTAGTGTTCATCCAATATGAACGACTGAAATATGTATCATTTTAAATTGTTAATTAACTAGAAAATTAATAGAAACTTAAAAATTTGAAAACTGTTAAAACAATTGTGAAACTTGGGCCTCGATTATTTTAAAATCTACAGAGATATTTCCATTCTTGTATCTGCTGCATAAATTGGTAAGTCGAACAGTTCAAAATATTGATTTTTAGATGGAAAAGCAATTCCGCGAATATTTAATTGCTTCCTTTTTCGCAATTATTTCGCAATTGCGCGCAATGAAATGGCGCAAGCGGAAGTAACCATTGCGCGCAATTCCGTACAATTTCGCGCAACGGAATTCCGATTGGAAACTGCCTTCCCGTCACGGATTCAAATCCTTCGTGTGAAAACCAGGTCTTTACAAAGGAATTTTATTTATTCTCAGAAAAATTAGAATTGGATAATAGTTTTAATTTTCATTGATACTAATTTTTCCTAGATTAAATTATGGCTTAATTGACTTGAATTGATTTATTCACCTGAATTTCTGTTTATAAAATCCCATTTCACCCCAGAGTACAGTAAAGGGAACTACTGTGTGTTAATTCAACTATGATTGAAGGGACTGTAAAAGGAATTTCAATTGACCCAGATTCACAACGGTACACGTAAAAGCGTTGTCTAATCATGCATGAAGAAGCTATCAATCTTTTAATTTGGAATTACAATTTCAAAAGTGGTTTTTGTACAAAAGTGACCTGCAAACATCTACTGCAGAAAAACATTATGGAATTATCAGAATTAAACACTTTGAAACAGTGAAAAAACGACAACATTCTCCACATCAATTATCAGAGAAAGGTTTCAAGGGTGTATCGGACATTGCCATTTTTTCGTGATGGCTCACTTGATCGAAATTACGTTAACAGTCTCTTTAAGAAGATATATCTAAGTTTGAAATATCTAAGTTTTACACCATCAGGATGCTAAAATATAGGGATTAGAAGATTTTTATCTCATTGGATCGAGTCAAAATTTTGAAACTGTTTAAATAGTCACTTATCTAGTCAAGTGCCAAGAATAAACTGGTTAATTTTCTCCAAACGATGATGATGCTATGTAAACCGACCTACAGTGGTCGAGCCTAGTTATATTTTTTAACCTGCACACTTTTCACACAATTTGCTACAACATGTTTACACCTTTGCAATTTTGTTTGCACATTAACGGCCAGAATTGTATTCAACGTTCAACGTGCCATTTATTGTCCCAACATTAGGAATTTGCAGAAATCATTATGATAACTGAATACTTCGGACACCCTTCTAAATTGAAGAACCATTTAGGAGACACGTTCATTTCATCAAATGGTGATTTATCTACGGGAGATCTTTTGGACATTTGGGTCTCTTATGAATTTTGGGGATGTCCAATAAAGACTTAGGGGGTTTTTAATTAAATTTTGGGGTGTGTGAAACAATAAATGCCGAAACCAATAAGAAAGGGTCTTAATTAAATAATAATTTTAAAAAAGTTTGATTCTGATTCCTGCAGGGGCCAGATTTAATGAATGGGAGAAGTGGTCGAATCGAAGTACTTCTCTTTGGCGAAAGAACTGGTTAAACCAAGCCGGAAGTATGTGGTTCAAATACTTTTCATTAAATTAATGGGTTTCTTATTTGACTTGTTTTCTGATATACGTCGTATACTAAGACCAGAAACCAAAACTGTAAAAAACAAACAATAGTTTCGTTTCCTTCAGATCAGTTTGTAAATCACCTTGGATCATTTAATTCATAAATTGCAAGTTAAACCATGAATTCGTATGCAAGGGTGGTTTTTGAAGGTTCATGAATATATTCTATATTCATGTGTGGTTTAAAGGGACTCTTCCACGATTTTAAAATACTTTTAATAGCCAATTTTTAGGATTAGGAACACGATTAAGTTTTCTTATCAAAGTCATAACCTAATTCTTAATTGTTCAATGTACCCAAGAAAACGAATTTTCTGAATAAAAATTTTACAGATATCATAATATAAAGTGGTACAGAATACAGATATTGATACAAAGTGGTGCAGATATGGATATAAAGTGGTGAAGATATTGAGTGGTGCAGATATTGATATAAAGTGGTGCAGATATTGATATAAAGTGGTGCAGAATGCAGATATTGACACAAAGTGGTGCAGATATTGATATAAAGTGGTGCAGAAATTGAGTGGTGCAGATATTGATATGAAGTGGTGCACATATTGATATAAAGTGGTGCAGATATTGAGTAGTGCAGATATTGATATAAAGTGGTGCAGATATTGATATAAAGTGGTGCAGATATTGATACAAAGTGGTGCAGATATTGATATAAAGTGGTGCAAGAATTTGATATAAAGTGGTGCAGATATTGATACAAAGTGGTGCAGATATTGATATAAAGTGGTGCAAGAATTTGATATGAAGTGGTGCAGATATTGATACAAATTGGTGCAGATATTGATATAAAGTGGTGCAGATATTAATATAAAGTGGTGCAGATATTGATATAAAGTGGTGCAAGAATTTGATATGAAGTGGTGCAGATATTGATATAAAGTGGTGCAGATATTGATATAATGTGGTGCAGATATTGATATAAAGTGGTACAGATATTAATATAAAGTGGTGGAGATATTGATATAAAGTGGTGCAGATATTGATATAAAGTGGTACAGATATTGCTATAAAGTGGTGCATATATTGATACAAAGTGGTGCAGATATTGATATAAAGTGGTGCAGATATTGATATAAAGTGGTGCAGATATTGATATAAAGTGGTGCAGATATTGATATATGGTGGGGCAGATATTGATATAAAGTGGTGCAGATATTGATATAAAGTGATGCAGATATTGATACAAAGTGGTGCAGATATTGATATAAAGTAGTACAGATATTGATATAAAGTGGTGCAGATATTGATATAAAGTGGTACAGATATTGATACAAAGTGGTGCAGATATAGATATAAAGTAGTACAGATATTGATAAAAAGTGGTGCAGATATTGATACAAAGTGGTGCAGATATTGATATAAAGTGGTGCCGATATTAATATAAAGTGGTGCAGATATTGATATAAAGTGGTGCAGATATTGATATAAAGTAGTACAGATATTAATATAAAGTGGTGCAGATTTCGTTATAAGTGGTGCAGATATTGATATAAAAGTGCCGCAAACATTTTGTAAAAAAATGATTTGAATATTGATATAGAAGTGTTTAAAATATTTCGACGATAAAGATTTAAAACTTTAAACTTATTCCACTGTGGTTTTGATGCATGAAATATTAAACCAGGAAATGAATTTCAAAACATGCATTTTAAAACAATCAAAAAAGAAAATAAAAACATATTAAACACCCTCCAAGACTTTGCAATTTTTTACTTTTTGTCCATCAAAGATATTTTTAAAGACCTTTAAACAACTGCAAGAGATAAAATAAAAAAACCCGAGATATTATTTGTGAAAATCTGCTAAATTTTAACAAAAAGAATTTGTAATTTGAAAAGCGGAGGGTAAGGCTTATTTTAAAAACTCTATTAGAATGATTTTGTTCTAACTTACATATTCAACACTTTTATAGGTAAAAATAATTACAAAAAATACCCATATTATCTTCTACCTTATCTATCTAAAAAACAATATTTAGGAGATTGAGAATGACCCCCTTCCCACCAACTTTTCACTATGTACACATATTTAACTTCTTAGGTTTTAGGAATTGTTTCTAGGCCAAGTTTAGATTTTGCTGACAACATTTGGATATTTTTCCACCAAGACTGGAATAAGTGATAGTATTGACAACAACTATAAAACTATTGCTTACCCTGTGTAACTAGAAGCTGCAGGGTTGTAATATGGTTTAAGGGGAGTATACGGTTTATAATCTTCAACTCTCTTCATACTAAAAATATATATTATACATCAATTCTACCAAGGTGGAATTATTTACATTGTACTGTATTCTTATATTTTAGATTTCATACAACTAAAAACGTATTTATTATATCTTCCCCAAATCACCTCTTATATCATTGAACCAGCTTGGAAACCCAGCTTTAACTGTAAACTGTACTTTCCCTAAAAAAAGTGAAGCCACTCAACTTAGATTCTTTTAACCTAGCTAAGAACATTCCTCTGGTTTTTACGAGCTTCCCAATAAAATTCGGGGCAAACCGGTCTAGGGGTTCCTGAGTTATGACATTCAAACAAACAAACAGAGATTACTACTTTAGATCAACTTTAATCTTAAACTTACTACTTTAAATAATGTAATGAGTAATGATCTGTGTCGCCTATTTGTGCATAATCTTTTGTTTGTTTTCTTTTGTAAAACTTTCTGTTCAAAATATCTTAACAAATTTAAACTAGACCATTTATATATGTATGTAATGAATAGAAATGTTTAGAGATCTGTAATATATATAGAAGACTGTATGTCTTAGACAAAAGATCAAATTTAACCTTAAAAAAGGTTAATTCAAAGCGTCATTAAAGGGAGTGACTTGAAACATTTTTTAGGATTTATTTGAGACCTATGAGACGTTTTACCAGTGCATATTTGTTCAGCAAGAGCGCAAAATCAATATTTAAATCCTCATAGATTTTGGAGGGATGATTTTGAGCATCGATTTTATTTAAATTATTCAATAACGACCACGAAAAATTCTACGAGAAAATAAAGATTAACTATTATGAAAATAAGTAATCTTATTCAGTTATTGGTTTCTGTAATGTCTCAACGTTCAAAATCATTTTCTGTAGATTTACTGGAATTTTTAATAAAAATACGACATTTAAAGAATTTGAAGAAATCTGCGAACAAATGTTTAAAGAATAAGAAAATTAATCAATATGATGATGAAAAGAAACGATTGATTAAAGCATGATTTATTGATAAATTTCTAATGAGAGATATTTTCATAAACATCTAATAAGTTAACTGTAAAAATTTTGTCACATTCTTGTTCGTCGTTTTTGAATAATTTTTATAAAACCGATTCTCTAAATCCCTCCGAATTGGACATTAAATGAGGATTTTTAAAACAAATATGCAGCGTAAAAACGTCTGATAGGTCTTAAATGAATCATAAAAATTTCTCAATAATACTACAATCTCAGTTTAACTACGGTGGTAGGTGATTATAGCAATACGTTGAAGACGACTTTCGATTTCAAATGTTATAAATATCTAGCTTATAAAAAGCATTGATACGCAAAAACATTGAAACAAAGAGAAATTGTCAATATAAAAAGCTTCTCTTTAATTACTTGTCAACTTGTAATTCGAAAAAAGCTCGTTCACAATAAAAACTTTACTATCGCTTACCACCGTACCATACATTGCCGGTCACTCCCTTTAAAGTTTTTCCTGTTTGAGTAACTCTGTACACTCCTTCATAAAGCTTCAGTGCTCTTTTTGTGTCAAAGAAAATCTTGTTTCAAAATATGTTCAGAGTAAACAAGAATGATGAATGATGAGACTTCAGAGACGACTGCAGGAAATTCTATCAGTTTTTTTCTTGCATTGATGGCTTTACATTTTCAAAATTCTTTTAAACTAAATTAAAAAACATATTGAAGACCAAATTAACGACCAATTTAACCTTTAGATTTTCAGATTTAAAGAGTTTCAGGTCGTTTTTAAAGTCTCTCATATATCTACTATTCTACTATACCTAGTAGATGAATAAATAGTAGAAGGCTGGCTAAGTGTGTTGGGTCTACATATATTTACTATTCTACTATACCTATTAGCAGAATAGATTGTAGTTGGCTGGATAAGTGTAGTGGGGTCTACATATATCTACTATTATACTATACCTAGAAGCAGAATAGATTGTAGTTGGCTGGTTAAGTGTAGTGGGGTCTACATATATTTACTATTATACTATACCTAGAATATACTTACATGGAGGGTCATTTGAAATTTCGCTCAGAGTCCCTTGAATTTGTGTGTAAAATGTTCTCTAAAATGTGTAATATTACATGACTGTGATGTATTGAGGGGATTGATTACAAATCTGATCTAAACTCTGCTATGTCAGATCAACTATACACTACACTAGCATTTAATTCCTAATTATTATATTGTTCATATACAGAGCGGTGAACAAAGAATAATCGTCGTCTTCTTTAATTCTTTCATTGATTATAAATTCAAATTTGCAACTCTGTATTTTTCTAAAAATGTAAATCCCAAAACATTTTACATTTTTAATTTAAAAATGTTTGAATATTTAATGATTACAAAAAGACGACTATTCTAATATTTGTATTGATGTTAAATTTGAATTTTTCTTACATTTTTACCTCTGTTGTAGTTTTACTTTTATTAAATGTATAGGTTTACGGTGAAAAATAAGATGCAACATTCAACTCGGATCGTAAAATAATCAATTTAATTCCAAACAAATCATTCAGATATTACAAACAATAGTCATCGATTATTTTTCGACGCATTCGTAAATAGTTGATATTTCATAATATTATTGATTTGGTTGTTAATATAATATTTCGCATTGGCGCTGGATTTTCGAACATTGTGGAAAATATGGAAATGTCGTCTTCATTATCAAAAATCCTCGCAACTTGCTATGTACTTTTGGTATATTTGAACTTTTGGGTATATTTGGATCTTTGTAATATATTTAAGTTTTGTACCTGCGCTATTTTTGCTGAGTGTGCTAATTCTTCCTGATCCATCTCTTAAACAAATATTTTTAATTATTTTATAAGTTAAAAAGAATATTTAATTCAGGGTTTTAATAAGTTGTAAACCTTTTAGAGTTTTATTTTAAGTTTAAAAAATTGACAAATAAAATATTTTGTTTTTGTTATTCTGAAAAGATTTTATATCATAATAAAATTTTACTGAAGAAAAAAGAAAAAATTAAGATTAATTAAGCTTAGGTTGTAACTTTAGTGTAATTTTATCTAAATGCCCTAATCTGTATATTTTGATGTTCCGGCAGAATTTGATCTTATTTCTTGTGATGTAACTTAAGGTTATTTGAGATCCCGATCAGCTGTTTTTCATGGATCAGGCACTTAATCAATAAATCAAAAGTTTCCACTGCAAATATCGAGTTTAGGCTCTGAAGATAAGTTCTGGCCCCCGAAAGAAAAATTGAACTAATCGATTACCTTTTAAAACTTGATCTGGAGTGAGAATGTTCCTCATCAGAATCTTATTTTACCAGCCGATCAATTAATAAATAAATAGATACTAAAAATGAAGAAAAATCAATCTACTGTATATTCCAAATTATCAAATGTCAAATACACCTAGATTTGTATATATTTCACAACCAGATTACCGAGAAGTAAGTTGACGAAACGAAAAATAAAAAAATGCTATTTCGTTTTTTAATTTTAAAGAATATTCTTTTAATTGTAATCGTTTTCAATAACGATCGTTTCATCTTATATTTTTTCGTCGTTAACGAAACGATCAGTTTGTTTTCAGAAACGCACCTCAGGCAGGCAGTAAAGCTTTTTGTGGGGGGGGGGAAGTCACCGATAAAAAGAACACATAATGTTGCATTTTCTAATACTCTAACTTCTAATATCTATTTCTAATATCTAATTTCTAATATCTGATTTCTAATATCTTTTTCTAATATCTAATATTCTAATATCTATTTCTAATATCTAATTTCTAATATCTAATATTCTAATATCTATTTCTAATTATCTAATATTCTAATATTATGACCGGGTATTCCTGAGTTATGATCTGATAAAGCTGATAAGATAGGAAACTGTCTTGAAGGAATCCTACTCCTCCCATGAGCTACCTCCATCTAGAGTATATACATCAGTTAATAATAGGAGTATGTTTAATAGGACCTTCCAGAAGGTGGGTCACCGTCACCACCCCTTCCCAATAGACGACAAATTGCAAACCATAAATAAACAAGGAAAAAACTGCGAAAATTTCTAGTTAATAAATAATTTTATTCATAGCTAAAATTTTCTAAAATTTATAACAATGATCCATAAATATTTGCTGTTCTATACATGTGAGCGCGTAAATTAAAATCAAAGGAGATATGAGGTCACAAAGACGTATCGGTAATTTCGCAGAAAGGAATTGAGTATTTGCCACAAATTCTAATGTTGTAAACCTCAGATATTTCAAACTATGTATTCTGTTTTAAACATCAAAGGTCTACACGAGCAGGTTGGAAAGATATAGGGATTCGTAAAACTTGAGTTGTGACAAGGACTTAATTCCTTTGACCTTTTTCCTCAAGTCTAGATCGGGATGAAACAAAATTGTCGTTGTTATATTTTACTGAATCAATTAAAAAAGTTTTTATGAAATTGAACAAAATTTAAATAAAAAATATGATTTTACTGATTATAAAATTTTACCTGTTTTTCCAGACTTCTAGTCTTCAGTAAAGTTTTAAAGGATATTACAGGCCTGATATACAGGGTCTCAAAATTTACATATATAAAGTTGTAATCTCTGTTTGTTTGTTTGTTTGAATGTCCGATCATAACTCATGCACTCCATGCCTCAATTTTTAATTGGGGAGCTCGGGAGAACCACGGGAATTTTCTTAGCTTGATTTTTGGAATTTAAATTGAGTGGGTCCACTTTTATAAGGAAACATTGCTAAAATCGTAATTTATGACCATGCGCGGGTAAAGGGTGGGAGTAACTATGAGTACCCTGGGTATTTGGCAATGCCGGGTTCTCAAGCTAGTATAAATAAACAAAATTTGTGAGGTGTAGGTCAAGGTGCATATTGGAAACTTTGGTTTGTTATCAGATTGATATCTGGCCGGGCAGATACAGGGTGTCCCAATAAAAATGGGAATTCAGTGACGAATTCGATATCGTCTTTTTAAATAATTCTTTGATTTAGTATAGTGATACCTACTGAGAAAGCTGTAATCTGTAAGAGTTTCATTTGCTATGTTCACATTTTTTTTTGTTTATGTTTTTACTGCATATGTATGTACTTAGTAAAACAAGAAAATTACAGTATACAAACAGAGTAAACTTATCAGTCTGCATTGTTCATCTTGTGGGGACATTATAGACACATCTTTACAGCCATTCACCGTTTTCATTAAATAAACTCCAGCAGACATAATAGTATCATGGCTTTTGAAATTAGGTATTACAATACTAATTCATAACAAAGACGATATCGAATTCGTCTCTGAATTCCCATGTTTTTTAGGACATCCTGTAGTACAATTTGTAAGTATACATTGAGTGTTTATAAGGTAATACGGTGTGCATTCTCTAGTGAAATTTATGTGGAAGGCCTTATACACTGCTTGTTGGATAAAGTTGTAACTTTGAACTAAATGTTTTACATTCTGCAACAAAAATAAGAATTTTTAAAATCTGGACTGAAAAGTAAAAAAGGGCTGGTACTATAGTGTCAAAACAAGTGAACAACTTTGGTGACGCTTTCTAAAGAAGGATCAGTCTCAAAGCTATAGCATAATTTTCATGTTTAGAAAGCATCTTTTCTTCCAGAAAGGATGAAAAGAAATGAAATAATTATTTATTGAAAAAAAGTATTAATCACTGAAAAGTTTATGAAATGAAAAGGAAAAAATATCTACAAAGCTTTATATATTTATATATATTATATTATATTATATATACATATTTATATATTTATATATTTTATTTTTTCTTATTTGTTTTGAAATCCTTTCCTTTTATAATCCTTTGCTATTTTGTTAGGTTCTGACAGCCGTCTGTTATGTGTTGATAACCGTCTGTCAGATTCTGACATTCGTCTGATAGGTTCTGACAACCGTCTGTTAGGTTCTGACAACCGTCTGTCAGGTTCTAGCATCCATCTGTCAGGTTTCCAAGTGCTGTCACTGTAACAGCCAGAATCCACAGAGCTCTGTCTGCTCACTGAAAAATAATAATTATCAAGACAGGTATTGATAACCTCAAGGGTTTGAAGAAACTAATTCTTTGAGATCTTTTTCAATTCAAAGAGAACACGTATCAACTTATTGAGATTTGAAAACAAAAAGTTTCAATCTTAAATTTGCCTTTTTTACAAAAATTTTCCTAAATTTTGCAAACCCAACGAAGAGACCATAAATATCTGCTAAAGCGTAAACTGTAATTGTTTATGTACATATATAATATTAATCATGCATAGAAAAGAGAAGCTAGACTGAGTTTGTTTATATTTTTTAATATAAATAAAATAAAAGCATAAATTAAAAAACATTTTATTAAAATTCTTAAATTACCCGAATTCTCCCTTTCCTTGTCAAAATCATCGTCCCGACTTTTAGAAAATGAAAAAAGTTTCAACTTTTAACCAAACTTTAATCATTTATCAATATTTAATGATCAACGACGGACATTTTTGTATAAAAACAAAATATTTTACACAAAACAGTCAATTTATCTATACCTAGCGCAAACTTATCAGAATATTTTGATTGAGATTTTGCAAAAATTAAGAAAGATTGACGAACTAAATTTTTTTTAAAAAGTACAGTTAAGGATTTTTTTCAAAAGAATTAATCACTTTCCACAAACTCTATCCCTTGTATCTTTGCAGCCTGATGTCGTCTAAATTTTGATATTTCAAACCAAACACTCTCACATAGATCAACAAGTTAAAGGATATGAAAGATTTAAATCATAAGGTTGAAATGATAAAGGAGAAAAATAATTCCTTATAACAAGTTTTTAGTCATGATTACTAGAATCTCAAAAATGTTTCCACCATTTATGGCTTATTTTGTTGGACCACTTTCAACCCCCCCCTACCCCCCACCCCACCCTAACCCAGCCCCAACACCACACTCACAACTCTGAATCATCTGTATACACTAGTGAAAGAGAGGCAAGAGAAGGCGGAAGGTTTTGTTTTGTTTGTTCTCAGGAATGTATGGGTTATGCCTACCCCCCACCCCACCCTAACCCAGCCCCAACACCACACTCACAACTCTGAATCATCTGTATACACTAGTGAAAGAGAGGCAAGAGAAGGCGGAAGGTTTTGTTTTGTTTGTTCTCAGGAATGTATGGGTTATGCCTACCCCCCACCCCACCCTAACCAAATTCCAATGGACCAGCTGAAGACATTTCTGACCGTATGTATTTTTGTAATAGATAATTCTAAAATCAACCCCAACAGATTCCGCAACTGTGCAGTGTACACAGACACGTTTAACTTATTCAATAGATTCTTAATTTAATGGTAAATATTTGGCTTTATAACATCAACAAATATAAAATTAATTAAATGTCGTCTTCCTGATCAACAGATTTATGGGTCTTTCTGCATACTATAGTAAAAAAATCTTGAAAATTATCTTAAAAGTCTGGAAAAGTAAAAAAGTGTAAAGTATACTTGAAACGTGTAGTAATGGTACCTGTAGGCAATGAGCAATATGGTTTAATTTAACATTTGTTAACTCTTGATATCTATTAATGTAACCGTAGACAATAAGCAATATGGTTTAATATAATATTTATTAACTCTTGATATCTATTAATGTAACCGTAGACAATAAGCAATATGGTTTAATTTAACATTTGTTAACTCTTGATATCTATTAATGTACCTGTAGACAATAAGCAATATAGTTTAATATAATATTTATTAACTCTTGATATCTATTAATGTACCTGTAGACAATAAGCAATATAGTTTAATATAATATTTATTAACTCTTGATATCTATTAATGTATCTGTAGACAATAAGCAATATGGTTTAATATAATATTTATTAACTCTTGATATCTATTAATGGTAACTGTAGGCAATAAGCAATATGGTTTAATATAATATTTATTAACTCTTGATATCTATTAATGTAACCGTAGACAATAAGCAATATGGTTTAATTTAACATTTGTTAACTCTTGATATCTATTATTGTACCTGTAGGCAATAAGTAATATGGTTTAATATAATATTTGTTAACTCTTGATGTCTATAAATGTAACCGTAGACGCAATAAGCAATATAGTTTAATATAATATTTATTAACTCTTGATATCTATTAATGTAACCGTAGACAATAAGCAATATGGTTTAATTTAACATTTATTAACTCTTGATATCTATTAATGTAACCGTAGACAATAAGCAATATGGTTTAATTTAACATTTGTTAACTCTTGATATCTATTAATGTACCTGTAGACAATAAGCAATATGGTTTAATTTAACATTTGTTAACTTTTGATATCTATTATTGTACCTGTAGACAATAAGCAATATGGTTTAATATAACATTTGTTAACTCTTGATATCTATTTCACAACTGCCATTATTGTACATATAGCATAGGAGGCATACATATAGGTTAGGTCGGACATACGCCCAATAACTAACGTATTTAGGTGTGTAATCTAGTAAATCTATACTAGTACTACTCCCCCCTAGCATCGGAGTCAACAGAGACGGATATATTTCAACGGAGACCAACTTTAACCTCATCGGAGCCATTGTGAGTTTATGATTTAATTAAAGTTAATTTTTTATCGGAGACCTGGCAGATTTTTTACTTTGATGATTTAATTTTAGTTTAATTTTTGTATAAAATAAGAAAATCATAAATCGCTGGTAAATTTACAATTTGAATTGATTACATTGTTCCCAACAATAGGTCTCCAATGATAAAATGTAGATCTCTTTTGCAGTGTTTGAAATTTCTTGCGCCCCTAACATAGGGTTCAAGTTTCACACATAGTGAGCAGCTTGCAAAGCAAACCCATAATATTAAACCCAATATTTATATATTTAATTCAAACCTTAAAATATGAAAACTAAACTTTAAAATGTTAAAACATCAAAGAAGATGTTCTAAACCGGCAGCACTGCACGGTAAATTATTTTTTAAATTTGTTAAACACACCAAATTTGAAATTTACTGAACTGTGCAATTATTGTAATTACATGTAAAACATGGAGGATCTAGGAGGAGGGGGAGGGAAGAGAAGTGCTTTATTGGGGGGGGATTGAACTTGAAAAAACCACATAATAAATTCCGCTTGTTTATGCGTAGAAAATCAGCATGATATTCTATTTACAGGGGTGGATACAGGGAGGGGGGCGGCAGGACTTTCGTACCCCCCTGAGATTTCAGAATAGCTTCTCAATAGCTATAAAGGGAAAGAAAACCTAGTGCAAAACAGGAAAAATATCTATCTTAAACAAAGATTTCGCCTGCGGCACGTTTTTTGTTTCTAAATCTGGATTTTTCTAAATCTAGCACCCTCCTTACTTAAATACTGTATCCACCCCTGTCTATTTAGATCTTTAATCTGTTAATTGATCAATTTTGAGGGTCTGAGTTAGTAAATATTTTCTCCAGACCCCTAGCTTCTCCTTGGTCCCCTTATCCCCCCTTTGGCCCCCATTCATTCCCATCTACGTACCCCTTGCTTCATCGGAAACCAGTAGACTCTAGCCTCCCCTTCTTATATCCCTCCCCTTCTCACATCCTTCCCCTTCTCACATGCCTCCGCTTCTCCCATCCCTTCCCTTCTCACATCCTTCCCCTTCTCCCATCCTTCCCCTTCTCACATCCCCTCCCCTTCTCACATCCTTCCCCTTCTCACATGCCTCCACTTCTCACATCCTTCCCCTTCTCACATCCCTCCCCTTTCAACACCCCTCCCCTTCTCAAATTCTGTATATAAACCTTCCGAGAACAATCCTTCCAATCTTTGGCCTCCATCCTTCTCACTTTCTCACCCCCCCCCCGTACCATCTTCTCATTTCCTTCTCTCCACCATACAAACAATTTTACTCATTCGATATCCTCACCTCCTTTTTCCTTATATTTAATTTAACCCCTTCCCCTGAACCCCCTGAACCCACCTCCCTAGCTATGAAACCTCATGCTTATTTTACAATAGTATGCTCATAACTATTAACTAATCCTCTCCCCTTTCTTTAAAACTACAGGGTTACCAACTTTAGAGCCGGGTGTTCAGAATTTACAGGCTTTTTCTTAAATCCATCATTATACCCTGCATTGCAGCTTTAAAATTTGTTCAGATCTCCCATTTATGCCCACTGTGGGGGAGGGGTGTTTATATTTGGAGAAAAATATACGGACATTTCATAGAAAGGACATTTAAAAAAAACATTTCGTAGAGATGGACATTTCAAAGACAAAACATTTCAAGATAGGACATTTTAGGACATTTATAGAGATGACATTTCATATATATAGGACATTTATAAACGGAAAAAATATCCCTGTTCTCAGAATAACTAGGATAAAATGTATAGTATTATAATAGTTATATAGATGGGATATAAGATAATAATGCTTTATGTTTGCACGTACATGGCTGAGTGACTGACTAAGCCTGTTAAATATGTTATTATTGTTATTTTTTCCAACTTGCATTATATCCCCCCTCCTCCCAATCTTCCCCCTCCGGTCCCCTCCTCCGGTCTCCCCCCTTCCCCTTCCGGTCCCCCTCCCACGATAGCATTTGTGTCTAAACTGTCAAAATTCTTGAAATTATTTAGATTAAGCTGTTTTCCTACTTTTTACTGTTTACTAAATCCATCCTATGCTACGTCACCATATTAGTTAAAAGGAATTGAATTTTTGTCACAAACTCTGATGTTATAATCCCATCTTTACAACCATCTGTCCCAGTCTTTGGATATTTCAAATTGTGAATCTGATGGATAAAATAATTTAAGTTTGAAATATCCAGATGATGGACCACTTGAAATTACGCTTACAGTCCCTTAATTAAGATGAAAGATTTACATAGTCCCTTAATTAAGAGGAAAGATTTACTTATAGTCCCTTAATTAAGAGGAAAGATTTACTTACAGTCCCTTAATTAAGGTGAAAGATTTACTTATAGTCCCTTAATTAAGGTGAAAGATTTACTTATAGTCCCTTTAAGCTGAAAGATTTACTTAGAGTTCCTTTGAGCTGAAAGATTTACTTATAGTCCCTTTAAGGTGAAAGATTTAATTATATTCCCTTAAAGAAAGATTCAATTATACTCCCTTTAAGCTGAAAGATTTAATTATATTCCCTTTAAGCTGAAATATTTAATGACAGTCCCTTTAAGCTGAAAGATTTGATTAAAGTCACTTTAAGTTGGAACATTTAATTTTCTTAAAATTACCTTCGTTGTCTGAATATTGTCCACCGTCGTTGATATTTAAACTGGAATAGACAAAACTCTTTCGTTTAGGATATATTATCCTTTCCGTATTTTCTGCTGATTTTGTTTCCAATCCTTGATCTTCATTATTTCTCATCTTTTCATTGTGTTTCTTATTCTTCTCCGCTTCGATATCCTTTCTTGCTTCCATGTTTTCATCTCTTTCTTCATAACTTCTCTGATTCCAGTCCTCCTGTTCTTTGGATACCACCTTGTTTTGTATTTCGGTTACATTGATTTCGTCATTGTAAAAAACGTCATCATTTAGGTCAGAACAATTATCATTTAGGCCAAAACCATAATCTCTTTGGGCAGAACCATCATCATTTAAGTCAGAACCATCATGATTTAGGTCAGAACCATCATCTTTAAGGTCAGAACCTTCATCTTTAATGTCAGAACCATCATCTTTAAGGCCAGAATCATTGTCATTATCAGCATCTTCGTGTGTGCCTTCAAAATCACTAATATTTACAGGAATTTTGTTAATTTGAGCATCATCTAAATTATTTTGATTTGTCTTCAAGACTAAAAGATCGAGATTTTTAACAGATAACTCATCTTCTTTCTCTTTCTTATTTTGATTTTTTTCGTTGCAAATTTCATCATTATCTTGATCCTTAATTTTAGAATTTCCACTTCTTATAGTCTCTTCACTGAACTCCAAATAATCGCAAAGAAAACCAGCTAATTCCAAGCTAATAAAAGATCGCTTTGCCATGGTTCCAAATCATGTCCTGAAACACAACTGATAAAAAAAAATATTCATAAATTCATAAATCAAAATGACAGTATTTTATTTTGGTGAAAATATAAAGAAATAATAACAAGAATTATTGTTATTCATCAACAACAATTTTAGCGTAAATGTCAAAATCTACAGAAAAAAGCCCCCCCCCCCCCCCTCCTAGGCCACCCCTATTAACGTGTTCACTGTTCAGCATCTATTAATGTGGTTTCGATTTCAAAAATACCACGGTCCAGTTGATACAAGTTTTAAATGCGGAGATTTCATGCTTTGATTAGAAAAGATTTACATTAGCCACGCATTTATAAATATTATTCTGAAAGGATTGTAAGTGTAATTTCAAGTGACCCTGTAAACTTAAAGAATACGTTTACAATGGTAAAATCCTTAAAAACAATTAGTTTTATTGCAAGAATGAAGGAGCTATTCCTGTTTTGCATTTTAAAATTCAAATATTTTCAATAGGGGTTTCTCAATATTAGTGCATTTCTGCTAACAGAAACAAGAAACAAGAAAGCTTATTTTAATTTAACAATCTATATATAAATTTGGCTTGTCTGTTTGGGTGTCTGTCTGTTTGTTTGTATCCAATAAACGTCAAAACGGCTGAACCGATTTAAAGGTTTTTAATTTTGTAAAAAAATTTAAATGCTTGAAAATCCGAGAATTTTTTTTTAAAAATCTGCAAAAAATTTTTCTTCTTTGTTTTAAAATGTAAACAAAAATAACATGTTCACAATTTAAATAGAGAAGATGGGCGCGAAGCGCCCTAAAAGCCTAGTTTAAAATATATCCTCAACATAATTGATCTCCTCTTGCCTCTCTCTTAAGGGAAGATCACTTAAAAATTTAAACGAGACATTCCTTTGGAAGTGATTTGGACACTCTTCCTCATATGTCTTATACCTGTAATGTAATATGCTACCATGATCAATACAATCTTTATTATCTATGTTTCGTTATCTATTTTATCTATGTTCATATTGACCCTGACTGGCCATTCCGGTCAGTTCTATTTACCTGTATTAATAAAGTAGTAATGTATATGACTCGTTGATTTAAACGGACGTGTATAGAGCCTTGAGTTTTGGCTAGAGATAGAGTCTGTGAGACTGAAATTAGACTAAGAGTCAAGTTATCTCGGGACCTAGATTTATTACATACCAACTTCGCAAGACTATCTAGTATCTATCTATCTGAACCTAACCTGACATGGAATATAGTTTAATTACTTGAGGTTGTAAGGTTGCATCTGGAGGGTGGGAGGGGCGGGTCTTCGACATTTACAATTTCCCTTTTGGTTGCGTGCGCATACTACGCAGACAACGAGTACGCAATACGCTAACTACAACGCAGAAAACGCATAATCAGATTAAGATATAAGTTGACCGCTTACACTCCTTAAACATCAGTATAGCTATTTCTCAGTTGAATTGGTGCGTCTATAAATACATTCAGATTATTTTAAGTTTTGTTGTATTATTCCAAATAAAGGTAATAAAAACCATAATATGTGTAAATAGTAAAAAGTAATAACTCATCTTCCTAAGCTTATTACAAACTTATTACCAACTCTCATATTTATTTGGAGAGGCAAATTAATTCTATGTTGTATCTAATTTCGTCACAGGGCAGTTTCGTAGCTTATAAAGTACAACAGTTTCAAATAAACATGTAGGATAATTTCGACTTTAAATACACCATTATTTTTTTAATTTTTAATCCCTTTTATTAGAATTTATAAATGAGCCAAAACGACTTTAATATATGTTTAATCACTTCCAATACATATGGGATAGAAATCCCCCAACAACATTTGAGAAAATTCGCAATCTTCTCAATTTAAAATGTCGAATTCGAAGGTGTTTGAGTGTAAGATTTGTGGAAACAATCTTTCAAACCTCGCCCGAATGTTCATTTCTACCGGTATTTCCTACAGGTATGTAGGGGCTGTGTTTTAATTATTCTTGATTTTGTTCTTTTAATTTAGTATGAAAAAAAACTAAAGAAAAAAAACAGACTTTACTTCAAGCGAAGAAGAATTTTTGGTTTAAATTAAGTAAGAGTTTATTTTTAGAAAAACAAAATAAAGGTTTCATATTTTAAGTGTTATTTAACAACTAAAATTTTCTGTAGATGGAGTTAATTTAATTCCTATTTTAGATTTTAGATTTTTACAATCTTTGAAAATATGATTTTCTTTCACAATATATGGTTGAGCTTTGATCTCATGATTTTGATCTTTGAACAAAGAGATTTCCTCGGGCATTGAAGTATTCATCCTATGACTTTCATTTCATCTTCCTTCATTAGAAATAAGAGTTTTTTTTCTCAAATTCATATAATTATTTTTATCTTATTCTATGTAACATGCAGTTTAAACTGTGAGAAAACTGTTTTTTTTTTAATTGAACCCGCTTAAGTGTGGAAAAGGAAAGACGATGCCGAACTCAAATAGTCAAAGAAACGTAAAATACACAAAAGATTGCATTAATGTCGTCTTCCCCTTCCATAGTTTTATGAGTACCTCTGTGCAAACAGACTAATTTTCAAAATATTAAAAAAACTAAATTTTACATGTTATTCCTAGATTTCTGAGTGAAATTACTGCTGAGGATTCAGATATCTATCTTACATTGGTAATTATTAATTTGTTAGATTAATTATTTGGATTAGGTCTAATGATTGAATCGCAGTATAATTGCAAAAATGTAATGTACTATTCATCATCAAGAAAATATTTCAAATCCACTTACTTTAAAATAATTAATACTCTACATCTATATAAGTAAAGTTTTAATCTCTGTATGTCTGTCTGTTTGTTTGTACGTTCATAACTCAGAAACCCATGGACCGATTTGCCTCAAATTTGATTGGAGAACTCTGTAGAACGACGTGAATGTTCTAAGCTAGGTTTAACAGTTCTTTTTTCGAATTGATTGACTTTTGTAAAGGAGGCAGAGCTAGTCTTATATATATAACTAGGCTTGTTTATATAACTAGGCTTGTAGGGCGCTTCGCGTCCATCTTCTCTTTCAATTGTGAACATTTTCTTTTTGCATACATTGTAAAACAAAACCAAAAAAAACTTCACGGATTTTATAAAAGAAAATTTGTGGATTTTCAAATTTAATGAAAATCTAAATTTGTTGGAGGAAAGGGCACGTAGAACTAACTTAAACGAAGTCCGTCCTGCCTGTATCTAAATATTTTAGTCATATTTTCATCTCTAATTCAAAATAAGGCAAAAATAGCTTGAAATAAATTATGTACTTTAATATTTATTATAAAATTATGGACCGACAAAAAATGTTAAGAGCGCAAATTCATAAAGACTTCATTTGCCGGTAAAAAATGGAATTAAGCCAAAGTCAAGGTTTGCTGAGTTTTAAACTTGAAATTTTGATCATTCATAAACCTTCCCTGGGGTAATATGAGGCCCACACACAATTTGGGCACGATCAGACAAGCAAAGTATATAGATAGAAGGAGTTATTTCTGTTTGTTTGTCTGATTATATCTCATCAACCCCTTGACCAATTTTCCTCAAATTTTGATCTGAGAAACTAAGGTAGAACCATGGAAATGTTCTTTGCTTGGTTTTCAAAATTTAATTTCAGTTGGTTGGATTTTACAGCAAACATTTAGTCTTGCAGACAAAGCTTGGTTCCCAAGCTAGTAAAATATAAAAAAATAAAGTTTAATTTGTATTTGTAAAATGTTTATATATAATATTGAGATTTTTAATTGGGCTACACACTTTTGAGGGAACTCGAACGTTCTTGGAATTTAGGCCCAAATTAAATGTTTTGATTTTTTTGAGGATGAAAGAATTTGTTTAGGTTTCAAGAAAGTTACAAGAATTATCCATTGCATTGGAGAGTTCTGCTAGCAAGCTGACCCAGTTTATAATAGATATTGGCGGCTCTTTTGTGTACAGGTACCATTATTGTTTACTATCCACATTTTATCTTATAATATATGTCAACAGACACTAGTTGACACCCCCCACCTCGATCCTTCCTTCTTGGACTTCTAATAGAACTAAACTTGCCTCAAACTTAAACCATGAACCAGATTTAACAAGATTTAATATTTGCGAGAAGTAATTAAACTTAAACCATGGACCAGATTTAACAAGATTTAATATATGCGAGAAGTGATTAAGCTTAAACCATGGACCATATTTAACAAGATTTAATATATGCGAGAAGTGATTAAGCTTAAACCATGGACCATATTTAACAAGATTTAATATATGCGAGAAGTGATTAAGCTTAGCAGAATAAGTCGAACCACTTATTCTCTCAAGTTTTGCCTGCTTACTGTTTTACTTTGTCTCCATATTTATTAAGTCTGGTCCCTGGGGTACATTTTTAATATTTTAAACATTGAATATTTGATTTATTAGAACTCACAATTTAACATATTAAAGGTACACCACATCGTGCTAAGAAAGATATAAGGATTTGAAAGTTAGATTTTGAGGCGAGTAATCATTTGTGTGACCTTTAATCTGAAATAAAAAACTAAAAAAGATATATTATAAAGGGATTGTAAGAAACCTGACTGGACACAGTTAGGTGTAGACCTTAACAACATTATAAAAGTTCAGAGGTAAAATTTTTATCTTTTTAATCTTATGAATACAAATCGCAACTCGTAATGGGCAATAACTGGCTCGTTTTGATAAAACTGTTAAGGTTTTTAGACTTTTTATAGGTTTTCAGACTTTAAATAGTTTTTAAACTTTAAATAGGGTTTTAAACTCTAAATAGGTTTTTAGGCTTTTAATAGGTTTTTAGATTTTAAATAGGTATTTAGAATTTTAAAAGGTTTTTAGACTTAAAATAGGTTTTTAGACTTTAAATAGGTTTTTAAACTCTAAATAGGTTTTTAGACTTTAAATAGGTTTTTAGATTTTAAATAGGTATTTCGAATTTTAAAAGGTTTTTAGACTTAAAATAGGTTTTTAGACTTTAAATAGGTTTTTAGACTTTTAATAGGTTTTAGACTTTAAATAGGGGTTTAGACTTTAAATAGGTTTTTAGACTTTAAATAGGGGTTTAAACTTTAAATAGGTTTTTAAACTTTAAATAGGTTTTTAAACTTGAAATAAGATTTTAGACTTTAAGAAGGTTCAAGTTTTCAAAACACAATTGTTTGTTCTAAACAACTTCTTTAAATCCTGAGAGAATATATATTCTTGGTTCATTTTCTCTCTAATAATTTTTCTCAGAATTTTGAAAAGAAAATAATAGAATACAGTATATTGAAATGTTTGATTCTTCACAGCTTTTAAAAATTCAAAACCTCTATACAACCTTATACTACTAGTTGTTTAACATTATTTATAAGATGTTGATAATTTTACAATATTCCAGGGAAACTAGATTACAGGTTCTAAACTGTTTAGAGACCATGGAGGCACATGGACATATTGGTCCTCGTAGAGTACTCAAACATATTATCAAGTAAACAAATAAATCATGATTCTCTCTTCATCATTCTCCAACAATTTATTTACATCTACTGCAGCAGTAACTTCACATTTATACGTTTATAAATATCATTAAACCAGAGCTGAAAATTTTTAAATGGGATATCCTTAATCCTGATCGGATAATTAATCTGGAGATTAAAAATGAGAGGAGAACAAGCAATAATTAATCTCGAGATTAAGAAAAAGAGTATATTAAGCATTAATCCCGATATCCACCATTCTAAAGTTTTCAGCTCTGGATATATTACACGGTGAATACAGTTATCAACATAAATATATAAATAATTTCGGAATATTCAACATAACCTAGCTATGTTAAACCGCGTCTAGGTTTTAATACAAGAACATTTCTTTCACAAAAACTGTATTCAGTGAATAGTTTGTCCTAGCTCCGAAACTGACGGACTTATATTCTATTTTTTTTTATTACAGACACATAAAATAGAAATAAATTTTTATGCACCAAACCATTTATATTTATAAAGTACCCTCCCCCCCCCCTGCAAATTACAACATTATTATTTGACAAACGTATCCAAAATGTTGATATTTTGTATGATTATTAAACTCTACACATTGAATCTTAATTCTATTTTTTATTAAAATTTAGAAGTACTGGACAGGATGATACTTGGAAAGAGTTGATGTATTTGATAAACCAGAAACCACAGCTTAATAATACATCACTACCAGATCAGGTTTAAAGGGGATACCAGAATACAGGGGGAAATCAGACTACAAGAGGGATACCAAAATACAGGGGGATACCGGAATACAGGGGACACTAGAACTAGGGTTGTTAATCGTTTTTGAGAACTATCGTTAAACGATCGTTCTTTGTTTTGTTTCCAAAAAAAAACGATCGTTTTCACAAAAAGATCCACTTTTTTTAACTTTTAGAAAACGAATAACGATCGTTTTTGAAAACGATCGTTTTCGTAATTGATAAATTTGTTAATGATCGTTAACGAAATGAAGAACTTTATAAAAACGGTCGTTTTTGAAAAAATACATGCAACTTTATAAAATGTCATCTTACATGAAGATAAAACTTGAGGCGGAGCTAAACCTTCTTGATATTTTCTTTAGAACTGCTCAATGATAAGTACAGGTGCCCTTCAGGGCGGTCTCCTCTCTCCTCTCTTCGTAAACGGTTGTTAACATCGTGGAAACGTTAACATCCCTAACTAGATAACATAGATTTAGAGATAAAGAGTTCTCATCTTTATTTATTATGATTTCTGCTTAGACTGAATATATGGTTTCTCTTCCTAATAAATCTACAACTAAACATCAATCTAAGAAAGAAGAAGACCAAGAAGAGTATAACGAAGGTATTTATGAAAACACACCAAATCTACCGAATAGCAAGAAAACTTGGAGAAAAAGTAGATCAACTATGTCTATACTAGTTAAACTACTTCTCTCATTATTTTCAATTTAAGAAATTGTTGTGTATTCTCAGATAATATGCCAGAAAAAACTGAAAAAAAAATCAGATGAAATTCAAATAGATACATTGATATCAATAAATTAAAATGTTTAGAGTTTATAGCAGAAGAAGGTTTATTTACTCCAGGGTTTACATCAAGCATTAGAGTTGACAATACTCATCACAGGTTATATATTTATTTAAATTTATATACAGGGTGTACCAATAAACATGGGAAATAACAGACGATTTAAAAATTGTCTTTGATTTTCAAATGCCGAAAGCCTGAAGTGTTTATATAAAAATTGACTGAGATATCAGATTTAATTTTGATATTTTTTTATTAACTGAAATATGGACAAAAGTGTGGGGGAATTCGACATTTTGTACATGCTGCGTTTGGTCCTAATAATTGAGATGGAAGGCTGAAATGTTGGTTGCAGCCTCTAATTCTGGTCATCTACAAAGATGAGGAAGAAAATTTAAGATCAGAGGTCATAATTTGGATTTCCATTAACTCAGAAAATACGGGAAACGCAGCCTGTACAAAATTTGGTGTGACAAAGTGTCAAAGTGCACCCCCCCCCTTTAAACACTAAGCATTGAAAACATGACAACATACAATGCTTGACACAAATGGCCTAGAACAGAAAAGGTTTTAACCCAGGATAATAAAATTTAGACCTGCAGAACTATATTTAAAACATAGTATAATGGGTTTCCTCCCAATTTGTATTTCAAGATTACTTCTAAAATTTTTTCCTTATGATTAAACATATGGATTAAAATAACCTCCAAAAGTTAGGAGTATATATGGATATCTGAAAGAGCACTTTATGTTTCTAAACTGTTTATTATCTAGGGAGAAACTGGAGGAACTATCTTCTCCAGGACAACAGAAAATAAATACTTCTAGATCTTTGTCAGGTCACAAACTAACATGCATGCATGTTTTAGTTACAATAAATATACACACCATCAATCTACACTGTACAGTTTAAGGGTGTATACAGGAATACATTTAGGGGGGGTGGGGGGCATTAATTCAGAACAACTTATAAATTCAAGTGTGAAGTATGATACAAATTGATATTGCAATCTGCGAAACAAACAACTGATTATGATACAGGGTTATTCACAAGGGATGAGACTGTAAAGACGAACTGAAGCTCATTTGATATGACAATAAATTTAATTTTAGTCTTCTGTCTTGAAAACAATTTTACAGTTGTAGAAATAATTAATATAAGAAAACATACAACATGAATTTTGCAAGTCGTCTCTGAAATCTCATTTTTAGGGTAACCCTTTATAACATATATAATATATATATACATTCTGCATACTTTGACATCTTTATTGTACATTGGTTTGAGGAATACTGGGTCTTCAGTATATTTAATATTTATACAAGTCTTATATTTAGGATATGAAGCTGATATTGAGACAGAGAACAATATTTCACTTCTAGATACAACAACAGGTTTATACACTGATACAGGGCGATACAGACAGGATACAGGGGGTATATAGGGGGGATACAGGGGGATACAAAGGACATGCAATTCAGGGAATATGGTTCACGGTACAGCATATACACTATACAATGTAAGAAACTTGTGTGTGGCAAATCAATTATTAATAAAATGAATATTTAGAGAGCATACATCAGAACACAAGCAGTAGCATCAACCTGAATAGATCACCAGAAAAATTAAGGTACAAATTACAATTAGAAATCAAATAAATACACTTCATAACTATTTTTATTATAAACAAGGGTTATTCTAAGCAAATGATATGTTATAATGTTTCTAGGTTCTGCTTGAGGGGATTTTTAATGTACCAACTCATGTCGTATACTTTATATATAGTATTTCCTGTTGTTTATATCATATTTACTTTACAGGGAGGAGTTGAACCTTGAGAATACTGATACTAGTAAATATACAGAAAATACAGAGAATACAATGAGTACAAAGATTACAGCGAATACAGAGAATACAGAGAATACCAGAATACATGATGCTCTGCCCAACCTTTATACTGACACCCTGAATCCTCTTTCCAACCTTGATAAAAACATTCTGGATTCTTCTGTTGATTATAGCTTCATAGACACGGATACAGAAAAAGAAACAAGAACAATCAATAGGTTAGTGTAATTTGTAAACTCTCATAAGGATCTTCTTTACATTTTTTAAAAGAAATGCAAGATTGACATTGTTGTATTCTAGATATTATTGTATATAAGTTTAAAGTTGTATTCTAGATATTGTTGTATTCTAGATATGGTTGTATTCTAGATATTGTGGTATTCTAGATATGGTTGTATTCTAGATATTGTTGTATTTAAGTATAAAGTTGTATTCTAGATATTGTTGTATTCTAGATATTGTTGTATTCTAGATATTGTTGTATTCCAGATATGGTTGTATTTTAGTATAAAGTTGTATTTTAGTATAAAGTTGTATTCTAGATATTGTTGTATTCTAGATATTGTATATCTGGGCGGGTTGTCTGTATTGTGTGTAATGAGTATAGTCCTGCTGCTGTAACTGCTAGAGATGAACTCAAGAGTTTCCTTAAAGCTGAAGGAGTTTATATTGTTGACGAGGAAGCTAAACACAACTCAGCTGATAATATTAACAATGCTAATAAATCCGCTGTTGAAGCAAGCAGAGCACCAGGTGATGATGAGGATGTTTGTAAGTTAAAGGATGTTGATCTCCTAATATGTCTGGGGGGAGATGGAACTTTGCTCAAGGTAAACCAATTTTGTTAAACCCCGCTTTAACAGTCAATATCTAAAGTTTTAATATACATAATTCTTGCGTATGTAATGTTAAAGAGTCAAATGTTTACAAACAGTTTTTAGATCGTTCGTGACCGATCAAGTTCGTTAAAGAGCTGACAGATAAATAATTTAAGAACGACCGGTAATTCAATTTAAATATTTTAAAATCAAAATGTTATGTTTTTGTTGTATATATAACATTATCACGCCATATTTCGCGATAGTAACTTAAAAAGCCGAACACAAATTCAAATCAAATATTTTTAAATGAAAATGTATCTTATAGAATTGTATTTTTTATTAATATTTGCTGAATCTATGAATGTTAACTGTTCAGTGTTCACACCTCCATGCTTTTTTCAATAAAAAAATGTAAAAAGTTTGCATCTTAATATTTAAAGAAACGAAGTTGTGGGAGTTGGCTTTATATAATATGATATGGTGTTTTTTAATTACATCTTCATTTGGATTAATAACTTTTCTCACTCATTTTTCGATTAACCTTGATAAATAATTTACATATTTTCAACATAATTTAACATTAAAATGAAAACGAGAATATATTGTTCAATAGTTAACCAATGATTGCATCTCGTAGACCAGGGATTCCATTAAGTTTGCCCAATCCAAAAGTTAAAGTTGGAAATGTGAAAGGTTTACACCATCAGATGTAAAGATAAAGGGATTAGAAAAAAGAGAGTTATATAGATAAACCAGCTAAAGTGCCCGGCGTTTTTTTTAAATTTTTGAGAAAATTTGAATTTTCAGATTTTTTTCTATCTCGAACTAGAAAAAATAAATTTAGATTTGTTAACTTATGTTATCCCTGGGGTGCTAAAAGGTCTCCTCAAAAATTCCGCCAATTAGGTCTGGCCGTTAGGCCAGCTATAGATAACAATAAAATATGTACACCAATATATACAAATATATTTAGATATAAGAGCAATTTATTTATTTCTAGTGTAGTTGTATGTATAAGAATATATATATTTCTAGTGTAGTTGTATGTATAAGAATATATATATTTCTAGTGTAGTTGTATGTATAAGAATAGATATATTTCTATTGTAGTTGTATGTATAAGAATATATATATTTCTAGTGTAGTTGTATGTATAAGAATATATATATTTCTAGTGTAGTTGTATGTATAAGAATATATATATTTCTAGTGTAGTTGTATGTATAAGAAGATGGTTCCTCTAGTTATTGGATTTGCTCTAGGACATGAAAACTTCCTTTCATCACTAGTCTGGGATCAGGAATATGGAAAGTAAGTTCAAAAACAACTTTAGATCTTGTGTTTCTGTTCCTTTCTAATTAAAATTGAATTATTAATTTTTAGATTACCCATAAAAGAGTTATTAACTACTTTTTATTTTCTAACCCGGCTATATCTTTGCAATCTTTGTTGTAGACCCCTTATATTTCAAACTATAAAATTCTGTTTTAAATATCAAAGATGAACACCATCAGGTTGCAAAGATATAGAAATTAGAAAACATAAATTTGTGCCAAAAACGCATTTCTATACTTTGATAAATATATTTATGATAAAGATAAAGCAGTCAGGACCTTTCGTTTGATATGATCTGTAATATTCCAGGCAGGCCGTTGGAAGACTGCTAGCAGGGAGCTTGCAGTATAATAGTATCAAGAGACAGAGACTAGCAGTTTATATCTTTAATCCAGGTAATACCAGGGGGGGGGGACAGAGACTAGCAGTTCATATCTTTAATCCAGGTAATACCAGGGGGGGGGCAGAGACTAGCAGTTCATATCTTTAATCCAGGTAATACCAGGGGGTGGGGGGTAATGTAAAGTCATGTTAAGCAAAAGTCTTTTTACCTTTAGCTATTTTCAAACTGAAAAAAACTCTGTTATTATGAATAATAAAGATCCCAACTCATGCATATATATTGTAGGTGAAGATGTGTTGAAGCTAACAGCTCTAAATGAAGTTACTGTAAGAAGAGAAGAAGCAAGAGATCTCGCAGAACTTAATATATATCTAGATAATATACTTCTTTATACAACAAAGGTTAGGATTTTATAAACAACAACGGCAACAGGAATTACAATATTCTTATTGGAGACCCCCATACTCTCGTTGAAAACCCCATATTTTCGATGGAGACGCCCAATATTTCATTGGAGACCCCATATTCTCGTTGGAGACCCCATATTCTCGTTGGGGACCCCATATTTTCGTCGAAGACACCAAAATTTTCATCGGAGGCCCCATATTCTCGTTGGAGATCCCCATATTTGAGATACTGCATTGAAAATCAGGGGGTCTCCAATGAAAATATGAGGGTCTCCAACGAAAACTTGGAGTCTCAAATGAAAATCTAGGGGGTCTTCATATTCCGGATTTCTCAAAACTAAGTCTCCAAACTATGATTTCCAAAAAATCTATCAAATTGGGGACCAATTCCGGAGAATTTTTCGAGAATTTTCGAGGAATCCGTCATTAAAACTTGTTCTCGAGAACTTGGGGATTTACTTCACTTTTGTTACCCAGCTAAGTATTTGAGACAATTCTGCTAATTATCTTGCCGTGACGAACAAAGCTGATATACTTTCGGAAGAACGCTCATTTATTACAAAAGAGATCAGATTAATTAACATCAACTCAGATCTGAAAAATATTCCGGTAAAGATAAAGTAAACTTTCAAAAAAATAGTACAGGGCTGAGACTTCTACAAGCATCCCAAATTTTTTTAACAAAACTTATTGATCACACCCCGTACACAGCATCTATACTTAATATTATGTTAAGGGTGATGGAATGATCATCAGTACAGCTACAGGGAGTACTGGATATAATTTCTCAGCTGGAGGACCCATACTCTTCCCTAGTATGGATTGTATTCTTATAACAGCACTCTGTAGCTGGCCACCCTCACTCCGTCCCATCCTTGTACCTAGAGGTTCAGTAATATCTGTATCCTTAGCAGCTAATTCAAGGTTAGTTAGATATCCATATTCTTCTATATACTCCATCCATATCCTTGTATGTAGAGGTGCAGTAGTATCAATTTCCTTAGCAGCTAATTCAAGGTTAGTTAGATATCCATATTCTTTTATATACTCCGTCCATATCCTTGTACCTAGAGGTTCAGTAGTATCAATTTCCTTAACAGCTAATTCAAGGTTAGTCAGATATCCATATTCTTCTATATACTCCGTCCATATCCTTGTACCTAGAGGTTCAGTAGTATCATTTCCTTAGCAGCTAATTCATGGTAAGTTAGATATCCATATTATTCTATATACTCCGTCCATATCCTTGTACCTAGAGGTTCAGTAGTATCAATTTCCTTAGCAGTTAATTCAAGGTTAGTTAGATATTCATATTATTCTATATACTCCGTCCATATCCTTGAACCAGAGGTTCAGTAGTATCAATTTCCTTGGCAGCTAATTCAAGGTTAGTTAGATATTCATATTCATCTATATACTCCGTCCATATCCTTGAACCAAAGGTTCAGTAATATCTGTATCCTTAGCAGCTAATTCAAGGTTAGTTATATATCCATATTCATCTATATACTCCGTCCATATCCTTGTACCTAGAGGTTCAGTAGTAACTGTATCCTTAGCAGCTAATTCAAGGTTAGTTATATATCCATATTCTTCTATATACTCCATCCATATCCTTGTATGTAGAGGTTCAGTAATATCTGTATCTTTAGCAGCTAATTCAAGGTTAGTTATATATCCATATTCATCTATATACTCCGTCCATATCCTTGTACCTAGAGGTTCAGTAGTAACTGTATCCTTAGCAGCTAATTCAAGGTTAGTTATATATCCATATTCTTCTATATACTCCATCCATATCCTTGTATGTAGAGGTTCAGTAATATCTGTATCCTTAGCAGCTAATTCAAGGTTAGTTAGATATCCATATTCATCTATATACTCCGTCCATATCCTTGTACCTAGAGGTTCAGTAGTAACTGTATCCTTAGCAGCTAATTCAAGGTTAGTTATATATCCATATTCTTCTATATACTCCATCCATATCCTTGTATGTAGAGGTTCAGTAATATCTGTATCCTTAGCAGCTAATTCAAGGTTAGTTATATATCCATATTCATCTATATACTCCGTCCATATCCTTGTACCTAGAGGTTTAGTAATATCTGTTTCCTTAGCAGCTAATTCAAGGTTAGTTAGATATTCATATTCTTCTATATACTCCGTCCATATCCTTGAACCAGAAGTTCTGTAGTAACTGTATCCTTAGCAGCTAATTCAAGGTTAGTTAGATACCATGCCCATCTTTAGACTTCGTCCATATCCTTGTACTTAGAGGTTCAGTATTTTCTGTATCCTTAGCAGCTAATTCAAGGTTAGTTATATATTCATATTTATCTATATACTCCGTCCATATCCTTGTACCTAGAGGTTCAGTAATATCTGTATCCTTAGCAGCTAATTCAAGGTTAGTTTAATATTCATATTATTCTATATACTCCGTCCATATCCTTGTACCTAGAGGTTCAGTAGTATCAGTTTCCTTAGCAGCTAATTCAAGGTTAGTTAGATATCCATATTCTTCTATATACTCCGTCCATATTCTTGTATGTAGAGGTTCAGTAATATCTGTATCCTTAGCAGCTAATTCAAGCTTAGTTAGATATCCATATTCTTCTATATACTCCGTCCATATCCTTGTATGTAGAGGTTCAGTAATATCTGTATCCTTAGCAGCTAATTCAAGCTTAGTTAAATATCCATATTCTTCTATATACTCTGTCCATAACCTTGTTCCTAGAGGTTCAGTAGTATCTGTATCTTTAGCAGCTAATTCAAGGTTAGTTAGATATTCATATTCTTTTATATACTCCGTCCATATCCTTGAACCAGAGGTTCAGTAGTAACTGTATCCTTAGCAGCTAATTCAAGGTTAGTTAGATATTCATATTGTTCTATATACTCCGTCCATATCCTTGAACCAGAGGTTCTGTAGTAACTGTATCTTTAGCAGCTAATTCAAGCTTAGTTATATATCCATATTCTTCTATATACATTAGCCATATCCTTGAACCAGAGGTTCAGTAGTAACTGTATCCCTAGCAGCTAATTCAAGGTTAGTTATACATCCATTTTCTATATACTCCGTCCATATCCTTGTTCCTAGAGGTTCAGTAGTATCTGTATTACATGCAGCTAATTCAAGGTTATTTAGATATCTATATTCATCTATTGAAACATACGAGCTCAGAGCGAGCCCATTTGTTTGGCACTGATCGATTACTAGCTAGTGTCCTTGGTAGACATTGATAGCTGATCGTGCCCATTGGTTTGGCATTGATCGATTACTCGCTTGCGCTCGTTTTTACATCGATAGCTGAAGAGTTCTCGTTGAAACATACAGGCTGAGATCATGCCCATTGGTTTGGCATTGATACAAGCTAGTTTTCGGTTGATATCGATAGCTCATGAGATCGTGCCCATTGGTTTAGCATTGATCGATTACTAGTTAGTGTCTGTGTTGACATCGATAGCTGACAAGTTCTCGTTGAAACATACGAGCTGAAATCGTGCCCATTGGTTTGGTATTGATCGATTAAGAGTTAGTGTCTGGGTTGCCATCGATAGCTGGTCCGCATTGAAACATATGAGCTGAGATTGTGCCTAGATTCTGAACAAAGTTTTAAGAGTACGGTATTTACTTCAGATATCCATATTCATCTATATACACATCCATATCCTTGTATGTAGAGGTTCAGTAATATCTGTATATTTAGAAGCTAATTCAAGGTTGGTTATATATCCATATTCATCTATATACTCCATCCATATCCTTGTATGTAGAGGTTCAGTAATATCTGTATCCTTAGCAGCTAAATTAAGTCCATTCTATTGTTTAATTGATTGATTCTATAGTTTTTTGGATTTCAGAAAAACAAATGTGGAAGATAAATAATAGATAGAACCCCATTTATGTACATATACATTGTAAATATATAATCAGTATTCATTTCAGCATGTCAAGGTCAACATTTTGCAAAGTGAAAAAATATCCTTTTAATACATCCATCTTCATATCTAATAAAATAATAATATCTAGGAGGAATAACGTGAGCGTAACCCTGGATTATAGAACAGAGTTTCATCTTGATAAAGGAGGACGAGTAGATATCAGGTAAATATTATCTAATACGGGACTATCAGACATACAAGGAGTAGATATCAGGTAAATAATATCTAATACGGGGCTATCAGACATACAAGGAGTAGATATCAGGTAAATATTATCTAATACGGGACTATCAGACATACCAGGAGTAGATATCAGGTAAATAATATCTAATACGGGACTATCAGACATACCAGGAGTAGATATCAGGTAAATATTATCTAATACGGGACTATCAGACATACCAGGAGTAGATATCAGGTAAATAATATCTAATACGGGGCTATCAGACATACCAGGAGTAGATATTAGGTAAATATTATCTAATACGGGGCTATCAGACATACCCGGAGTAGATATCAGGTAAATAATATCTAATACGGGGCTATCAGACATACCAGGAGCAGATATCAGGTAAATAATATCTAATACGGGGCTATCAGACATACCAGGAGTAGATATCAGGTAAATAATATCTAATACGGGGCTATTAGACATACCAAGAGTCTTCACAAACCACTGTAAGGAATTTACTTCCTTTTTTCTGATATTATTGGTTTTCTGAAGCTGTAAACTTCTCTCTTTGTTAAATCATGAAGTGCAAATATGTCTCATCCGTTCCTGAAATGATGAAATATGATACATAAAAATGATACATTTCGTTGTAAGATTACATTTTTTTTTGGTTAAAATACTTTATTTGTTAGATAACTTTGGAGATGGATAATAAATTAAAATTAGGATTTTATTTGGTTTATTTGACACTTGTTAATATTTATAGTTTCCTTATATAAATGAATGAATGAAATGAAACATATCTTTTCAAATATAGACAATACATCTGTAATCGTTCTTTTATCCTCCAGGATTAGTGACTTCTTTCTGGAACAAGTTATTTCTGTGTCCGAATGTAAACGCGATGAACATGAAGAACATGTTAAACGTGATGAAATTGATAAACATGATGAAGATGATGAACACGATGAATCTGAGGTTGGACCTAGTTTAAAAAGTATTCAGCAGATCTGGATCAGTAAACTTGAGAAGATAAAACAGTAATTATTATATGTTGAATATTAATATTTTATTTGTTGAAAATAGTATTATCATGATTTTTCAACATTTTTCTGTTTTATGTTTATAAAGATGTACCAATAAATCCTCTTTTGATAAACTTACCAGAATCCTATAACTCAATGAAAAATCTAACAAGCTTTAAAGGATACAATACTGTAAATTTAATTGAACATTTCACTTTTAAATAGAGTTATTTGAAATAAAGCTTACAGATCTTTCAAAGAAAATAACTAAATGTTTCAAATTTTTTTTTCACGATATTTTTCACCCCAAGGCCAGGCCAGGTTCCACCAGAAAAAGAATATCACTCAATTTGTCTTAATCAAAATTTTCAGAGCACATACATTTTAGTTTTATATATCTGTTAGACTATTAGGAGAAAGAAATCCTTAAGGTAGAGTATTCTTAAATCAAATCAATACATCTTCATATATAAATAATATTAGCTTGGTAACCCAGCGCTGCCCAGGTTACTAATAAAAGTTACTCCCGTCGTTAACCCGCAATTGAACGATTTTACCGAGAAACTAAATTTTTGCTATATTAAAGTCGACCCACTCAACGTTAAATCTCAAAACTAAGCTACATACCCGTGGGTCTCCCGAGTTCCCCAATCAAAATTTGAGGCAAATCTGTCAAGGGGTTCCTGAGTTTTGATCGGAAAAACAAACAAACAGAAGGGCAGACAGACAAACAGAGATTACAACTTTATATATATAGATGCTATATCATACATAATGAGAGTATTGTACTTGTAAACGAATAATTATAGGTTTGTATATCTGGCATAGATATTATATACACTACAATAACAAGAAGATAATTCTCATATTTCCCATTCTAGATAACTACAAATATGACATAGACCATAAAGACCCAGGGGGGGGGGGGGGGGTGGAGAGGGGAAGATTCATTCATATAAAACATTGTAATTTCTAATCTAAGGAAAAGCAAATGGAGAGATTATTTCAATATGATTATTATGCCTGCCAAGATAAAAAAGGTATTGCTAGATTCCGTCCTTGTTATTAGTATAACCACTTACCTTCCATCAGAGAGATCCCCTTCTTTTATCAAGGATTCCGACCTAGTTACAAATATAACCACTCACCTTCCATCAGAGAGATCCCCTTCTTTTATCAAGGATTCCGTCCTTGTTATAAATATAACCACTCACCTTCCATCATAGAGATCCCCTTCTTGTATCAAGGATTCCGTCCTTGTTATAGATATAACCACTCACCTTCCAACCGGAATACGTTCCTGTAACTAATGCTGAAAATTAAATTTCAATGCAACCTTCACTAGACAGAAAGAGAAAGTCAAAGGAAAAAGTTTTTAAAATTTTTTTTTTTAATTTTACGAACACTTTTAAGAAAAGGCAACTTGTTTCATGGAAGTTGAAAACATTTTATTGCTTGTCAATACTTTGAATTTAACGTAAAATTTAGTTTAATTTGGCGTGAAAGTAAGAGCTTCTATATTTTCAAAAACTTGTAAATATTTATAAGATCCAATATCTAGTTTGATTAATGTAATGTCATTTTATTCCCCCTGGAGGATTCAAGGAGGATTCAAGGAGGATTCAAGGAGGATTCAAGGAGGATTTAAGGAGGATTCAAGGAGGATTCAAGTAGGATTCAGTAGGAATCAAGGATGATTCAAGGAGGATTCAAGGTAGATTCAAGAAGGATTCAAGGAGGATTCAAGGTGGATTCAAGGAGGATTCAAGGAGGATTCAAGGAGGATTCAAAGAGGATTCAAGGGATTCAAGGAGGATTCAAGGTGTAATCAAGGAGGATTCATGGAGGATTCAAGGAGGACTCAAGGAAGACTCACAATTTTTTATCTACTTCACTTTGACTTGTCGCCGTATGTGGATCGCTTGGCAATCCAAATCATTGGCAGATCATCTCGTGGTCTGTCTCAACGGAGGAGAGGGGGTTTATAGTTTGCAGCAAGGTTTGGTGTGAGACTTGTGGGTCATGATAAACCTGATGTTGAATTAATCTGCGTAAAAATTAGTTTCCGTGCAGCCTGGTATTTCATGTATAATCAGTTAATACTAGGTTAAATCTTGCAAAAATACCATATGGTTCATGTCTGATAATCTATAGGGTCTTGCATATTATATCTGAACCAATTTTATGTGTTCGACAAATAAATCATAATAATAATAATATAAAACTAGTTGAAGTGGAATTTTAAAAACACTGGAAAAAAATATTTACAATTTTGTCACCCCCAGGGTATCCATGTATTTCCTATAAAAATCAGCCAATTTGTTCTTGCCTTTTGGGGAAACTATTATAGCAAACTTTATACGAATATAGCACAGTTTAAACCACTATTTCTAATATTTGTTAAACAGTGCTTATGAATATAGTGTGTAACCTTATGAGTATAAGAGTAGTGTTCCATGCGAATAAAATAACACTATATTGGAATTATTGTCCTTTGTGTATTGAATAACCCTGCATTTTTACTAGAGTCCATTGTAATAAATAACCCTGTATTTTTATTAGTGTCCCATGTGTATTGAATACCCTGTATTTGTAAGTGTCCCATGTGTATTGAATACCCTGTATTTGTAAGTGTCTCATGTGTATTGAATACCCTGTATTTGTAAATGTCCCATGTGTATTGAATACCCTGTATTTGTAAGTGTCCCATGTGTATTGAATACCCTGTATTTGTAAATATCCCATGTGTATTGAATAACATACTCTAATTTTAACCTATAAATCTCTACAAAATGATGTGGTCAAGGACCATTGACAATATCTAAGGATGAACCTCTTTCCTTAATTTAGCTTGAAGGATGTATATTGTGTATTGAATAACCCTGTATTTACTCTCAACAGTTTCATGATTTATATTTCTTATTTTCCTCATTCTTTGTTTAAGGTTTATGAATAATAGAGTCAATTTCTCAACTTAATCCACATCCGACATATTGAAATATTAGGACCTTGAAACATTTGATTAAAAAGGTTTATAATCATGTTTTAACCTCAAAAAGCTCCAGAGGGGGAGCGTTGAGACTAAAATCATTTAAAACTTGATTTCTGCATATCGTTATTTGTTTTAAATGTCGACTTAAATGTCAATAGTTTCACACTCAGGTGGAACAAATATAGTGATTAGACAACATTGAGTTCGTGTGAAAAACTCCGTTGGATCCTTATGATCAAAAACAACATGTTTAAATGGTGCGTATTATCTTTTTGAATTTTCTGAAAATGTACAGGTTTACCCACAAAGGATGAGACTGTAAAGACGACCTGAAACTCCTATAAAATGACGATCCCTTGGTTAAAATAATTATTCTGCCCTTCATGTAATCTTTTAATGGCTTATTTAATGATTTGGCAAATAAAGAAACAAGTTAACAGTTTAAGGGAATCGTGAAAATTAGGAAAAATACCACATTTTGTACAGCCGTCTCTGAAGTCTCATCCTTTGTGCGCAACCCTGTACGTTAGATTAATGATTTGAAAAAATGCTATTAAGATGTTTTAATGTTGATGTGGAATTGTATTTGGATCATGATGAAGGATACTACAGGGCCGGCACCACAACCCAGTACTAATAACATTTCTAATTTGTTATTGTGAAAACTAACAGTAATTATCAAACATGTCGAATATTTTTTACTGGTAAACTTTCTTAAAAATAAAATGGAGGAAAGAGAATTTTTACTTCCATTTGAAAATTCACGAATGCTTCTTTTCACATCAAAAACAAAACCGAATGAAAAAATCGATATAAGACAACAAAAGAGAAACTGTAATATTATCAGGAGCAGATTTGTGTTGAAAATGCAAAATTAAGGAAAAAAAGGTAAAATAATTCGTAAAACCTAGTTGCTTCGCTAATCCATTATGCATGAAATAAACTAATGGATAAAAAAATTAAGCAAATCATATTTTCTTTTGGGATAAAATTCTTGAACTCTCCACGGTTTCCCTAATTAAGGTTGGGTCTGCAGAGAAACCATCTGGTTGGTTTAATAGCTCTCAGTTCTACTCAGGGTTCTAGATACAACACATGTGCTCTAAACTATACCGGAGTAAAGTGAACCTCAACTACTCACACTTCAGCCCAGAGTATTTCACACGATTATATATGAATCATAAATTGTTTCATAATTACAGAATTATTTTGAAGATTTTAGTGTTAAAAGATTCATTAAATACAAAGAAAAAATGAGAATAGGTAAAAACCAAATTAGAAATGAAATCACATGTTACAGATAAAAAGGAAAAAAAATAAAAATAAAATGCAAACATAACTATTTTCTAAACGTAAGGACAAGGTCAAAGAAATTAAGCCTTTGCCACAAATTCAAATTGCCTAATCCCTTTATCTTTGCCACCTGATGGTGTAAACCTTTGATATTTCAAACTGGAATTAATTGATCCAACAGAGTTCAAAGTTTGAAATATGTAAGGTCTACGACATAAAGGATTTGATAATCAGAGTTTGTGAATAAGACTCGATTCCTTTTAGTATCACATTTGGTCGGATGTTAAAAATTTAAAACTTTTTGGTTTCGTCTTCATGGTTTCAATTTTCAAAAAAGAGGAGTTATAGATTAAAATTATTTTTAATTTAATTTAAAATATACGTGCTGGACAAGGATACGAACATATTTAGGACAATATTATTGAAGAAATAAGGACAAGAATACAGATGGAATAAGGATAAGAATACAAATAAAATAAGGACAAAAATACAGATTAAATAAGGACAAGAATACAGATAAAACATGGACAAGACTACAAATGAAAAAAGGACAAAAATACAGATAAAACAAGGACATGTCTACAGATAAAATAAGGAAAATAATACAGATAAAACAAGGACAAGAATACAGATGAAAAAATAACTGAAGTATGGACATATTTAATTACAGAAGAAATATGGATAATAACACGTATTATACAGGGTTACCCACAATGGATCAGACTTTAATGGCTACTTTAAACCTTAAACTCTTTACAATTAGAAGTTATATTTTGAGTACTATTGCTTTGGTTAAATGGTTTTGGCTAAATGGTTTCTTAATGATTTGGTAAAAATAATGAGCTGCGAGGGTCTGTGGCGTATTCAGGTAGGGGCTATGGGGGCTAAGCCCCCCCTGGACCAGTGAAATCTATTGATTTCAGGGGGTTTTCAGGCCCCAACGGATGCTGAGCCCCCCCCTGGAAAAATAAAAAAATTAAGCCCCCCCCCTGGACAAATTCCTGAATACGCCCCTGGCGGGGGTAGCAAGGAACGTAAACAATAAGAATGAATAAATTCCGTACAATCGTCTTTGAAGTCTCATCCTTTGAGTTTGAGAACAAGAATACAGTGAAAATAAGATAAAAAATACATTTGAAATAATTGGACAAGAATAGAGAGGAAACCAAGATTTAAATAAGTACACGAAAAGAAAAATGACAAGATAAAACTAGGAGAGAGAAAGAAAGAAACATAAAAGTAAGGAGATAAAGAAAAAAAAATTAGCGGATAATTCAATATAAGAATTGAATAGGGGGAGGGGGGAGTTAATAACACAGCTGAGTAGAGCTGTGAGAACTGAGAGGAGGGGGGGGGGGAGAATACTAACCCTGAGATTTCATAAACTTTTGTCGAGTAACAAAGAGGCCCATTTTTTCTGTATGTTGGATTTCGTATTTTTACATCAGATGTCCTTCAGTTACTATGAAATTAGAAGGGTGCTCACAAAGGATGAAACCATAATTCTAACCAAGCAAAATAACTCCTGGAACCTCATAGTTTAATACGTTGAAATATGTGCAGTGCTGAGGAACTGCAAATTAGACAAAAGGTAAAATCTATGCAACATCACTAGCATGACTTTGTGACCTAGTAGCTCCTCTATTTTTGATTTCACGCAAAAGTGCAAGGAGGACGTGGAGGACAAAATTTAGATTTTAAAAATCAGGGATGAGACAAACACTGTAAAAGGAGTATTAAGCATAAAATCATAATTAAAATTTTGGTAATAGAACAAAGAGAACAGAGATAAGAGAGTTAAAGAGATCGATTATTAACTAAAATATGCGATATTTTCCATAGTATTTTCAATTGTGTACAAGCACTGTACACGACCAATCAGCAAACATCTGTATTCAGGGATATTTAAGCATCCTTTGGATACGAAACACAAAATCTTCAAAAAAAGATTGAATTCATTTGTTTCATGTTTAAAATTGGAGTATATCTTTAAAGTTGTAAAACTTAACCCCTTGAATGGGTATGATGTTTGACAAGTGGCCGTGAGATGGCACTTTAAAAACCTATCGTAAAAACGTAACATGTCGTGCCAGGTCAATTTAGGCCTACTTAGCCCACCCTGTGAAAGGAGATACTAGCAGTCTGTGTAGTCTGTGGGACAGAAGCTGCAACTACAGGGTGCCCCACGAAACATGACAGTAGCAAGACGACTTGAAACTCGTATTTGATCTAGAAATTTATTTTTGACATTCAGTCGTCAACCTACTTTAATATACATGATTCTTGAAGCAATAACCATAACATTTTCGTAGTCCTAGCATTTCCAAAATGTGGTCTACCTTTTTTGTGCTGCCAATCTTACCATATTAAGAATTTCATTCAGATTTCAAATTTGTTATATAAAACTAAAAATTGTCGAAATCTGAAGGATATTCTCTATATCTCGGGAAATTTTAAAAGCACAGAAAAGCGAACCACATTTTGGAAATCCCAGGACTGGAGGTATTATATGATTTGTAACTTCTAAAATTAGGTTAAAAAATAAATGCCGAAAATTATATTAAAAAAATCAAAGACAACGTTCAAATTGTCTTGCTACTGGCATGTTTCGTGGGACACCCTGTATAATTTTTTTAAACAATTCATTAAGCAAATTCTTTGTGTTTTAAAATATTATTCATTGTCACTAATTACAAAGAACAGTATGCATATAATTATATGACCTCTGGCGCTCTGACCAGCGTTCATTAAAAATTTGACTTTAATCCAAAGGAATTAAGCTCTTTGCCACAAATTCTAAATTTTTAATGTTTATATTTTTTCCACCCAATGTCGTAGACCTTTATTATTTCAAACTATGTATTCTATTAGATAAAATTTAGTAAAAGTTTGAAATATAAAACGCTTGTACCATCCTCATAATCGTAAAGACATAGGGATTAGAAATTTGATCTTCTGGCAAACTTTCAGTATTTGTTAAAAATCTAAAGATATCTTTAAACAACAGGTTTTTCTTTATTAACAAATGTTCACTGAGAGTATACTTTTATGGTACTCTTCTTCTGCTTACGGTTCACTACAACTATATGCTTATAAGTTATAACACTCGTTAGTCAAAGTTTCATGAATATGAGAACCTTAAAAACCTTTTATAAAAAGGGTCCGCAAAAGTATTTGCCAATAACACCCTTTAATTAAATGGTCTATAAAAAATTTAGCATATGTCACATTTTAATCCCTAATAAAAGAGTCACTAGAAGTATTTAGCATATGTCACATTTTAATCCCTAATTAAAGAGTCACTAGAAGTATTTAGCATATGTCACATTTTAATCCCTAATTAAAGGGTCACTAGAAGTATTTGCATAAGTTACTTTTTAATCCCTAATAAAAGGGTCACTAGAAGTATTTGCATAGGTTACCTTTTAATCCCTAATTAAAGGGTCACTAGAAGTATTTGCATATGTCACATTTTAATCCCTAATAAAAGGGTCACTAGAAGTATTTGCAAAGGTTACTTTTTAATCCCTAATAAAAGAGTCACTAGAAGTATTTGCATAAGTTACTTTTTAATCCCTAATAAAAGAGTCACTAGAAGTATTTGCATAGGTTACTTTTTAATCCCTAATAAAAGGGTCACTAGAAGTATTTGCAAAGGTTACTTTTTAATCCCTAATAAAAGAGTCACTAGAAGTATTTGCATAAGTTACTTTTTAATCCCTAATAAAAGAGTCACTAGAAGTATTTGCATAGGTTACTTTTTAATCCCTAATAAAAGGGTCACTAGAAGTATATGCATAGGTTACTTTTTAATGAAAGAGTCCTGAAAAGTATATGCATTTGAGTATGCCACCTTTAAGTAAATGGTCAAAAAAAAGTTAAGCTTATGTCACCTTTTGATTTAATGGCCATTAAAAGTATAAGTTTATGACACCTTTTAATTAAAAAGGGCCGCTAAAAAGTATTTGTTAAAAGGAGTGTTCGCAATTTTAACACTTTTTTCCTTATAGTCGCAACATAGAAGTAAAATAAGTAGCGATCAATAGCGGTTATTTTTCGCCGTAAGCCTACACCCCCTTTCATTTTTCGCGAACACTCCCTTTGAAGGGTTCTCGCAAAACATTGACGAAAAAAGTAAATTGCAAAGTGAATCTAAGATGAACATTTTTAATAATTGAATATTTCAGATGTAAATCATACAGAGAGTGAAGTGGGGTCTCTCCTAACACCCACACAAACCGTACATTTTAACAGAACAGTTACAGCAAACTGTACATGAAGTAACGACACACTGTAAATAACCGGCCAACTTCTGTACAAACAAACAATATGACTCATCTGCTTCCATTTTTAATCTGTAAGTATCTTTTTTATTTCTTCCAGAATTTTTGCATTTTTTCTAATTCTTTTTCTTAAAAACTGCAGAAAACTTACATTCCTGAATATTTAAAAGTTTGATTGAATGATTGATTTATTGATCAATGGATAGATGGATAGATAGAGCCACTGATAAATTCCTCAAACTTAATAAATCATTTGATATTAAACTTTGAATATTCAAATTTCAGAAATATTCCAAAGAGGATTTAAACATGAAGATCGATGGCAAGTACAATGTAAGATTTTTATGTTTTCGATGGAAAATAAATCCAACAATGCTAGAAAGTTATTTTGAAATGTCTGAAACTCTTAAAAGTTAAATTTAAATTATGGTTTTATGTTCAAATTTTCTAAAATTGTGAAAGTAGATCAAATTTAAATATTTTAATAAAAATTGCGTGAAAATTATTCCAAAGAAAGTATTTTATCCACTGACGCGCATAGAGTTAAAATATCATAAATTACCATTGCATGACAATATTTGGACTAACCCTACAAGTTGTTAATCTTCAGTTAATCCAATTCACAACCGTTCTAGCTCTGTCTAATGATTTGAAATTGCGGTTTCTCAAAAATATGAATTGCGGATTTATAAAGCAGATTAGAGACAAGGAAGGAAACTGACAGAATCTGTTCTATCTTGTTAAGATATGAAAACGACCAAATCTTCTTTATTGTAAGCAAGTAACCCTCCTGGCAAATATGGCAATGCTCGATTCACAACGGTCATTTTTAGGTTTTTCTTCATTGATCAGTTTTTCTTCATTGATCAGTTATTTTCATTGATCAGTTTTATTCATTGATCCGGTTTTTCTTCATTATCAGTTTTGTTCAATGATCAGTTTTTCTTCATTGATAAGTTTTTCAAGGTTTCTTCATTTCTCAGTTTCATTTATTGATCAATTTTATTCATTTTTTTCTCTTTAATAATTTTTTTTTTCATTAATCATTTTTTTTCATTTATAAATTCTCTATCATTGATAAATTTTTCCGCATTGATCAATTTTTCTTCATAGACCAAACTGATCTTTCTTTATTTAATCAGGTTTTCTTTATTGATCCGATTTTTCAGATTCTTGTTTAATATTAAGTCCTTGAATATGCCGCGTAAACAGAAGACGACCTTAAGACGTAGTTTTTTGACCTTGTGTTTGTTTGTTTTCATACATTTTTTAATAAAAGTCCTTTTTACCTGACAGAATTTACTCGGCAATATTTCATATTTTATAAAAACCGAGTGAAAACATCTAGACTATTCAACTCAACTGGGAATTACAGAGTACAGTCTATACAAAGTGTAAATATATATATCTACTGTATATAATATAGCGTGTATATATATGTATATAATGTAGAGTGTGTATATGACTGTATACAAAATCTAATTGAAGGATGAAAAAGATCCAGACAATTTATTTGAATTTAAAATTTAAAATTTAAGTGAAAAGAAGTTTTTATGAGAAAGATGAAAGATTCAAAAACCCATTCATGATAACGTTTATTGTCTTTTTTTTTAAAAACCAGCTAATTAGGATATACTAAAAATTTAAAAAATGGTTTTTTTAGTGACGTTGGGCTCAGCACTTTCTAGTCCTAATAGTGGCAGACGCTCAGACACTTTTAGGTTGGAAATCTATAATAATAATAATAATACTAATAATGATAATGATAATAATAATAGTAATAATAATAACAATAATGATAATAATAATATATCCACCACCATTTAAAAAAAATACAAACAATAGATTTTTAACATTCTTGTACCTTTCCTTTCCTTTTTTCTTTTTTTAGAATGGGGGGGGGGGGAGTTTTTTGTTTTGTTATTATTTACAAATTAATAATAATTATATACTCATTACTGATCCTATCCCCTAAACAGCCATATATATACTTTATACACATTTCCCTTTCAAAATATCGGGAAACCAAATCGAGTTTGACAGTTCAATTTGTTAGTAGCTCTAGGAGAGGCTTTTAAATATTATTACATACCAGGATATTTTTTTAAACCCTATCTATGGTATTCAATTATTTTTAAGGACCACAGAGCTACAATATTCAGGCACCTCAGTATTTAGGTAAATTTACAAGCTTAACTCAAAACATGATGAGAACATAAACGTTTTGCATACAAAATATTGGATTTAAAAAGTATTCAACAGGAGGCAAGCTTAAGTAATGTTTTCAATCCAGAGCAACAAATGAAAAGCGGAAATATTTGTAATCGATTTTTACCTAAACAGAATTCAAAATATTTAGTTATCTTGAATGGAAACCGTTTTGCATCTATGGTGACAATATTTTCTTTTTGTGGCTATACAATTTTTTGAAACTAAAAATTTAAATTTCTAAATTTAAAAATTCAATATTTTATGATTTAGAAGTGAAAATGAAGACCGGCTGTTGGACGAAGGTGGAGGGTATGAAGGTACCTTTAAAGAAACTTTATCATTCGATTTTCTTTCACCAAAAACACTCATTTTTTGTATAATATTCAAATAAGGATACGGGTTCAAAGACGACTGTACGTATTTTTTAACTTTCTTCATTCCATGCAGCTTTATGCCTGTTATTTTCTTTGCCAGATTATTTAATTTATGTTTAAAACTTAATTAAATCTATATATAAATTTGGCTTGTCTGTTTGTCTGTTTGTCTGTCTGTTTGTATCCAATAAACGTCAAAACGGCTGAACCGATCGGGCCCAAATTTTTTGTGGGACATCTAGGGACCCCAGGGAAGGTTTATGAATGATCAAAATTTTAAATATTTGTCTCCATCAAAATTCGATCTTCATTAAATTTTTGAAAATTTTGAAAATCCGCGAAATTTTTTGTGAAAATCCGCGAATTATTTTTGTTTTGTTTTACGATGTACACAAAGAGAACATGTTCACAATTAATTTAGGAGATGGGCGCGAAGCGCCCTCAAAGGCTAGAAAGAAGGGCGCGAAGCGCCTTGAATTTCTAGTACAGTATATTTATATTCGGACAGTATTTGGTTGTTTTTAAAGCCTCATCCTTTACTGGCAACATTTGCTAGAAAGACAACAATACAAAATAGTTTTTTTAGTTATTTTGTGAAAATTATTAGATGCATTATTTAGCCTTGACATATGTTTATTGCTTTTTGTATTCACGCTGTAATAATAAACTTTATAGTGTGTTAAACCACTTTTTACAGACTTTAAATACAACCACATACAAAACTAAAAGTACATAACACAGGGCGTTTCTTAAATAAAACATATGGTGCTAATATCTTAATTTTGGACTATTTTTAAACTTAAAAATTTCTTAATGTACGGCAGTCTTTAAACAACAATTTTTTTTCAGAAAAAGTTAAATTTGAAAATTTAGTTACACCCGTTGTTCAAATCCCTTTTCAACTTTCTTCCACGACAGAAAGAAATCCAGCATACTTTCATTCTTCCTTACAATATCCTCTATACCCTTCTCCCACCACCTCAAATCAACCTCCAAACCATGTCCCCACCACCTCACAGCAACAGCACCCGATAAACACTGAAATCCCTTCCCCCAAAGGGGATCAAGTTGTGGACTTTTATAAACATAAGTTTAGTGATAAATTCATTTACCTGGATAGACCTGATTCAACCCAACCAAAGGTATCTAGTGTGCGTTCATCCAACCACGTGGATGAAAATGAAGAACATCATTTCATCCCAACTGCTCCTTCCAGTCAGATTAAAACTTGGATTCAAAAAACCTCTCAACCTAAAACCTCAACGTCCACTTCAAGCGTTTATAAAGCTTCGACGGAGAAGCAATCGACGTCAAGTTTAGGCAAACCGCGTTTTGAGGACAACTTACCGCATGAGAAGCGCCGTGTACCGCATGAGGAGGATGGTGTACTGCATGAGGATGATGGTGTACCGCATGTGGAGGTTCGTGTTCCGCGTAAGGAGGACCATTTACATCGTGCAGAGGACGAAGTTAATTATTCAGAAAATTCGATGGTAAGATATTACAGGGGACATTGTAGTTCTAATCCAAGGATATTCCGGGATATTAATTTTACTGTTTGGAACTAATGTCCCATGCATTAAAGTATTTTAACCTATTTTACATATATTTTTACTTGACAAATGTTGTTCTAATGACCTTTAAAGATTTATGCCGGTTGACATAGTGGTAATTGACAAAACTAATTCTTTGGAATATAAGGAAGTCTTTGAATTTCAATTTTTACTATTTGCCATGTGTCCCCCCCCCCTCTGCTCCCTTTTGAGAGGATTAAAGTAGTGGGCACCTGCCCCCCTCCCTATATTATGCTTCATGCAGAGAATCACTGGTCATCTAATCCCTTATATAATGAAATCGGATTAATTACCCCCTCGTTTCTTAAAAAACTATAACTTGACAGATTTGATTTAGATTTCATGACACCTGTTTTAAAATGCGGTTAGTCTGACGTAAGTCTGAACTTGAATGTTTGGTAATTTCTGCATTTTCTAGTCTTTTTTATATATACACAATATATACACATGGCATATTGGTATTTTTTATGCTTTTAGGCGGAATTTCACGAAGAAGACAGAAAAAGTAAATCTCAGAAAATTCAGGTAAACTCGAACGGAAACATTTCGAAATAACTAACACTTCGTTTGAAATTACTAACAATTCGTTCAAAACAACGAATAATTCTTTCGATATCGTCTATCGTCAAATACGGAGTATTAACAATCCACCACCATTTAAAAAAAATACAAACAATAGATTTTTAACATTCTTGTACCTTTCCTTTCCTTTTTTCTTTTTTTAGAATGGGGGGGGGGGAGTTTTTTGTTTTGTTATTATTTACAAATTAATAATAATTATATACTCATTACTGATCCTATCCCCTAAACAGCCATATATATACTTTATACACATTTCCCTTTCAAAATATCGGGAAACCAAATCGAGTTTGACAGTTCAATTTGTTAGTAGAGCTAGGAGAGGCTTTTAAATATTATTACATACCAGGATATTTTTTTAAACCCTATCTATGGTATTCAGATTGTACTTTTTATTTGGTAAACATTTGGGGGGTGGGGGGGGCATACCCTTGTGATTTTATTTTAAGAAATTTATAAATTTTTTTCAGAAATAATATCATGTATCTATAATATTTAAATAATATTATGTTTGTACACATTTTCAAGGGCTTTAACAAATGCTAATTCCTTCTCAATTTTAGTTTGAACAATACCTATTTCATCTTAATGGAGCTGAGTTTTTGCCACAAAATCAAATTTTCTAATCCTTATATCTTTGCAACCTGATGGTGTAAACCTTAGATATTTCGAACATGTTTTTTGATCTTCCAGAATTCATAGTTTGAAATATGCAAGGTTTACGACATTGGGTTACACACAGGGAGCAAGGAATAGAAGGGAGGGACAACTGACGCGGTTCGCCCTACCATATGATTATACATGCTTTGCAGACGGTACTCCATTTTATATCGAGCTGTTTGGTTTCTTTAGTAGGGCCCCACAGGAAAAATATGTATTGGCGAAACTGGTGAAAGAAAATTGAGCCAATACATATTTTTCCTGTGGGGCCCTACTAAAAAATCAAACAGCTCGATATAAAATGGAGTATCGTCTGCAAAGCATGTATAATCATATGGTAGGGCGAACCGCGTCAGTTGTCTCTCCTTTCTATTCCTTGCTCCCTGGTTCCACAATATAGTTTCAGCAGAAGTAAATATATCCATTTATTGATAGCACCGATTTAAGAATTCATAACTCTGATTGGATAATGAGATAGATAGAAAGATAGATGATACCGCCATACTATTGCTATTGGTTCAGAATAGACAACAAGCACATGACCGAACCCTGATTGGATCAGGCGCTAATGGACTCGGCATACAGAAGTGTCCAAAGCTATACAGGGAGTAGAATTTCAGAGTTTGTGGCAAAGGCTCAATTCCTCTAATCATGTTCTTAGGATTCTAAAGTTGCAGATATCTGTCAGTTTTCTCACCATTCTCTTTGTAAACTGGTAAAATATATTATAAGGGACTGTATACGCAATTTAAAGTGACCCTCCGTTCATATTTTGGTATATCCGAATCACAAGGGTACGAACCTCTGACCCTTTATTACAAATAAATTCAACCTAACGTCTGCTCGCGTCAAACTTGTTGCACCGTCTAGTCCTATTGATTGTCTGCTTTATTTACCCAATGTCCGAGCGATACAGTACAAACTGGGACCGGAAAGATTGACCTGGCTCGAAAATTCAAATGTACTACGGCTGCCTGTGAGGGTACCCGTTAAACCTTTATCTGATTGAAGATAAATTAGATATGCTTCTCTTATTGACTGGGGTTTTTTTGAAAAAGTGACTCGCTTACTTAATTACTTATGCTGGAGAGAAATCTAGATATACTGTAGGATACCCTTGAGGATTAGACCTCCCAGGCGTAGGTTTACAGTTCCTTCAAATCTTATTTTTAAAATACTCTTTCGATTCATTTCTGTAAAATCAGAAAATCAAAATAGATGATTTATCAAAATTAATTTCAGTTGAAAATGATGACAAGTTAATTAATCTATTGAAATAATTTAATTTGAAAAATTTGAAGTACTTTCATTTCGAGATTGTTTTAGTCTTAAAATAAAACGTCTGTCAGCTCTAATTTCATATGGAGTAACTTGTTTTTGTCATTTTTATATTTTTTTATAACCTATTATTTGTTTGGAGAAAATGCTTAATATTTTCATGAAATGTATATTTTACATTTTACTAAAAAATCTACAAAATTTATTTCTTTTCGCCCGAAAAATGTAGTAAAGAGAAGCAAATAAACATTAAAGAATAAATAATTAACCCGGAAATTAATTTTAAGAATAAAACAAGCTTCATTGAAGATTTTTCACATAAAATCATCAGATATTTGTTTTTGATGCAGCGGACATTTTGAGGTTTGATCCACTTGGATTTTTAAAATTGTTATTAACCAGTTCGAAATTAATCAAAATATGTTTTAAAATTTTTACAATTTTCTCATTACTTAAGTTTTGACGCCATTTCAATTTGGGTGTCTTTGTTCGCCCACACTCCCTTTAATATAAGCAATATTTTAGTTTCTGCCGAGAATGGGAGAACCAAGAGAATCTGACGTATTTCAACCTGAAGACAGAGAAAGGTATATTTTATATTCCTAGTTCAAATATATCGAGCTTCATCGAAAACATTTCAAAATGACATTTTGTTTAAAAATCCGAACAAAATATATAATTTTGTGAGATAACATTAATTTTCTAATTTTGAAATGGATTCGATATTATTTTTGTGACAATTTTTCTTATTTATAATTTTTGTTAATTCTAATCTAACTTCTGGTGCTCCTGGAGAAGTAAAATCTGAAATTTTCTCGGAATTTTTTCCCAAGGCGAAGAATTTTTTTATTGTAAAAGTTTTCACGAAACTTGTTTGTAATCTAATAAGGGCAGAGTTATGGGGAAAAGATTGCTTAAAGGGACTGTAAACGTATTTTAAAGTGTTTTCCACTTTAAGAGGCGCATGTGTCCAAAACACAATTAGTCCCTGTTCTTCTTTCACCAAATAGATTATTTTCAATTGCGGTTTTATTGCTATAGAAGCTATAGAAGTAAATTCTGAGAATTGAATTCTTTTCAAGGTAGATACACGACGATATCTTTCCCATTATTCATCTTATAAAGGATTACCTTTGGAAATCTTTGAGGGACTATTGAACGACAGCCCAATAGAATAGCTGAAGAACTAATTTTCTAAGCAAAATAACAAAGATTGTAAACAGTACAAAGCTGTAATCACTATTAAAAGATATCAAATGATTAAAACAAAAATTCACATTAATTCTGTATTCTGTAATTGCAGGGAAGAAGAAAATCGTCGTGAGTACAGAAACAATATATATCAGGTAACATTTTTCTGGATTATTAGAAAAAAATGAAAAATGTTTTAAAACCAACATAGGACATCGGAAAATGAATCAGTATCACATAAAATTAAAACACAATGGATGTTTAATAAATTTTTGGAAATCCACCAACATTAGCAGACAATCTTAAATTGGGTTCGAAAGAAAAGTTAGAACCGGTATATCACATTTTGAAGTTAAAATGTTTTTAGTTTGCTAAACCTGTACTGTACAGCCACACCAATTTCTTGTCCGAGCCACATTCTCCTCATATTCTCGTCCGAGCCACCTCGAAATCCTAGTCCTTTTAAAGTTTTTAACTCTTATTTTGGCGATATAAAATAAATAGCATAAATATTTGGAATACCTCTGCTTATCATTTTCCCCATGGAACCAACCGGAAAAACAAAAAAGATTAAAGATCTCTACATTCGGAATTATTTGCGGCATTCTACATCTGGAATATCTAAAAATGCGCGTAAAAAAGGTGAAACTTTTCAACGACATTGAACTCAAAAACTTCAATTCAATTGAAACTATTTTTTTTCGATTTACAAAAATTTAATTGACCCGATTCTTAAAAAAATTTATCTTGGAGGATTATACACTAAAAAAATAGTATTAGAAGGACGAGGATTTCGAGGTGGCTCGGACGAGAAGATGAGGTGAATGTGGCTCGGACTAGAAATTGTTGTGGCAGGCCTTATTTCCCTCACTGAACAAACATTCAATGCAATCAAAGAACAACCCAAAGAAATAAAGAATCACATTAAAGGAAACCTAACTGCACTTCAAACAAAATAAAAGAGAATCTGCTGGGGATAACAATTAACATAAAACAAGTTGTAAATACAGCATAGTATGCACGTTGATATTTTGGTTAAATTCGATCGTCAACGGTTATTTAAAATTATTCCGTTCTTTAGCGGAATTTCCTGTTAATTAACAAGATTTATTACAACCAGCACATGCTTAAGTCCGTAAAGCACACTGCACAACTTGAATATCAACTTTCATTGATTTGGGAAAAGTTGAATTAAAATTCACTGAATTTAGCCCTTCTAAACATATCCGTGTTCTAAAGTTTCATGCTATTTAGTCTTGAATAAAAACATTCAGGACAGGGTGGGTGTACAGTGTACACTGCATTGTATAAATCAACTGAATTGTCAGTATTTAAAAAAAATCAGGCCGATTTCGTAATTTTCCCACCGTTTTTTGAGCGGTTCTTTATATTCATTATCGGAAATTTCCATTCATTATCGGAGTTTTCCATTTACTATCGGAATTTTCCATTCATTATCGGAATTTTCCATTCATTATCGGAATTTTCCACCTATTATCAGAATTTTCCATTCATTATCGGAATTTTCCACCTATTATCGGAATTTTCCATTCATTATCGGAATTTTACATTCATTATCGGAATTTTCCATTCATTATCGGAATTTTACATTTATTATCGGAATTTTACATTCATTATCGGAATTTTCCATTCATTATCGGAATTTTCCATCCTTTATCCGAATTTTCCATTCATTATCGGAATTTTCCATTCATTATCGGAATTTTCCATTCATTATCTGAGTTTTCCGTTTACTATCGGAATTTTCCATTCATTATCGGAATTTTCCATTCATTATCGGAATTTTCCACCTATTATCGGAATTTTCCATCCATTATCGGAATTTTCCACCTATTACCGGAATTTTCCATTCATTATCGGAATTTTCCATTCATTTTCGGAATTTTACATTCATTATCGAAATTTTACATTTATTATCGGAATTTTACATTCATTATCGGAATTTTCCATTCATTATCGGAATTTTCCATTCATTATCGGAATTTTCCATCCTTTATCGGAATTTTCCATTTATTATCCGAATTTTCCATTTATTATCGGAATTTTCCATTCATTATCGGAATTTTACATTCATTATCCGAATTTTCCATTCATTATCGGAATTTTACATTCATTATCCGAATTTTACATTCATTATCGGAATTTTCCATTCATTATCGGAATTTTACATTCATTATCGGAATTTTCCATTCATTATCGGAATTTTCCATTCATTATCGGAATTTTATATTTATTATCGGAATTTTACATTCATTTTCCAGAAACTTCCGTCTTTAACCAAACTTTGCCCAGTCCCAGAGCAGTTAGACTACATAGTTAATCTAATTTGACCGTGAAACGGGAAACTGAAAGAAAAATTAAGAATGGTTTCTCACGCCGCGGTGCACTGGTGAAATTATAGCTGAAATATCAGGGGTGAATAAGGGAAAACGAAGACAAGGAGGATTGACATCTTCATAGAGAAACAAAAACACTTAAAATATTTTAATTCCGCATCCCCATTCCACCCCCTCCCCCCCCACATAACACTGAATTTCATTTGGATTAAAACCTCCCCTCTCCCTTTCCTGGTTTACTATAATTTACACCCCTAATCTCTCCTGTGTGGTTTGACTTGAAGAATGTTTGAACCAAATGTGGTTAATTTATTAAACAAAAACATCACTCTTTCATTTTATTAAAGTTAATTTTATTTATTTTAAAAATCCTTTTTTTGAGAAGCTTGATGATAAACAATGTTTTGAAAATTTTACATGGAATCAGACAGATTTAATATCCTAAATTTGGGGAAAAGTATGGCCGGGTGTTACGATGTCGCCAATTCGTCCCAGTAATTCCGGGTTTTTACTTCTGCTGAATATTTTTCTGAACAATATAATGTACATCTGTGATTCTTTTTTCTGTTTTTTATTTCTTATTTTTAAACAATTACGCTTGGAGTTTTATAAATCTCATTTTTGTAATATTTTGTATATTGGTGCAGAAACCAGTTTAAGTTGTTTACATTATTTCAGCGGATTTAGGATTTGTGAGAATCTAGTTTAAAACTTAACAAAGTCATGAGAAACATAAACAAAACAAATCTATCTCCAGAGAACTCTATCTAGAGTTTAGTAAGAATATCAGCTTGTCAAATTTAGCAAGACAAACATGAATAAATGCAAAAGCTCTAAATACATCGTTAAATTAAATATTCACTCTGAACAGTGGACGAGATAAAGGATTCCGCGAGTAATATGTATGAAGAAGTAATCTTTGTTTGTTTGTTCGGTTGTTTGTTTGTTTGTTTGTTTGTTTGTTTGTTTGTTTGTTTGTATAATCGATTATCATTCATAACCCCCATGACCAATTTGCCTCAAATTTTGATCAGAAAACTGTTTAGAATATGGAAAAAGTTTTAAAAGTTGTTCAGATTTTCAATAACTGTAGCTGGGTTCCTATGCTATAGTAATGATATAATACAAATGAATAAGCTATAAGAAGTTTGTCAAAAAACCAATTGTTAATGCCTGGCAATAAGAGGTTACATTGGCAATATTCGCAATTATCATTTGCAATTAGCATTCGCAATGAGCATTCGTAATTATCATTCGCAATATTACCTATAATAGCGCATAATATGCTCTATCGACTGTCGCTGGATAAAATTGATGGAATTTTCTAAAGCTCTTTGTTATCCATTACTAGTTGAAGAGCCCGGCGTTGCACGTGGAAAAAATATTTAAAAATAAATTTTCCAAATAAAATTTTTGAAAAAAAACTTTTTTTAGCCTAAAACACCCCCCGACTACTCATGAGTGTCCACAACAAATTTCAGTCCAATCGGTCGAGCCGTTTGACCGGCTGTAGGCAACATATATATATATATTGATAGTAATAATGTATGTCCGATTATTCTAAATGATGTCCCATTACCATATGTAGATGAATTTAAACATCTTGGAAATCTATTTCAATCCGATAATTCTATGACCAGAGATTGTAATTTGAAACGTGCGAAGCTTATATCAATAATTCACTCTTTGAATCAAGCATTTCATTTTTCTGAACCTACAATGGTTGTTAAGCTTTATAACATATGTGCATTGGAATACTGCTATTCGTATTTTATTTGGTTTGCCACGACAAACTCATGGATATTTTATTGAACAAATTTCTGAGCAAATTCATTTAAAAACTATGTTGTGTAGCCGATTTGTATCCTTTTGCGAATCTATGTGTAAAAGTCGCAAGCTCAGCATCCGACTATTGTTTGATTTATGCAAAAATGACCAAAGAAGAAAATTATGTAAGAATTTATCTAATATTGCAAATGAAACCTATGTATATAAACTGTTCTTGAACAAGTCTCTAGTTAAGTCAAACATGATTTACGCGAATCCGGCTGAAAATGCGTGGAGAATTCCACTGTTAAAAGATTTACTATTAATCCGGTCAAATCCAAATGTTTTAGAAGGATTTAACTATGATGAAATAGATGTAATTATTGATGCTATATGTAAAAACTAACTAAGTTTAACTAAGTTTTTATTTTTTTAAATTTTATTTTATTGTTTTCGACTATATATTAATTCTATATTTTATATGTTATATATCTCATTTCTAGTTGAATTGAGTTAAATTGTACCATTATAATTGTGTACGAATAAATAGAATATATATATATACGAATTATTATATTTGTTTAGTATATAGATTTAACGTAAACAAAAAAGGTTCAGTTGGATTTTTCTGTAAAACTTCTCATCAGAATAAACATTTTGTGAAAAACAAGCTGTTTAACTACATTACTTTGAGTTCAACGTTCAAAACAAGAAGGGAAATACATTTATTATACAGCACTCATTTTATATTAATGATTTTATAGTAATCTTTATTTTCAGCCCAGAGGTCGGGAGAGATTTGAAGGTGATTTTGGGAAAAAGATTGTCACCAAGCCGGTCACCACAACGCCTTTTCCATCCTTCACGCCCATTCTAGTGAAGACGACACCTCCTTCGACCACAACTATTCCTGAAAATGCGCCAAAACCATCGACAGCGCCTTTTTTGAAATCTACGGAACATCCTTTAATTATCAATACTGTGAAGGTGATTTTATCCAATATCTTTACCAATTTATTTAGGGCAGTTGCGTGAGGGGAGGTTAGAAGGGGGGGGGGGTTAGATTTAAAATATTTGAACTAAGTGAAACCATTTCTCTTTAACTTGAACTGGAGCACAAAAGAAGAGGTTAAACTTGGTTTATTTAATTCAATCACTGAACTCGTATTTCATCAAAGTAATAGGGTCTGGGCCAAAAACACAAATTTTCTAATTCCTATATCTTTGCAACCTGATGGTTGTATCCTTTGATATTTAAAACTTACATTTTATGATCTAACATAATTCATAGTTTGAAATATGTGAGACCTACGACATTGGGTTGCAAAGATGTTATTAGAAAATTATAGTTTGTGGCACATACTCAATGTCATTGTGGTGCCTGTTTAAAAGCAGCATGCAGAAAGTCTTAAAATCGTCACTAAATTCCTAATTCTATTATGATGAAACAACTTTTAACTTTTGCTACTTTCCCTTTAGATGTGATAATAATATTAAAACAATTTTAAGAGAAATATTTATCAATTTTTCTAATTCAGCCACATGTTGAGAATGTGCCGGATAGACCCAAATATGTGAATATAGAAAGAGACTCCACCGACTTCAAGAGACAACCAAGAGTAGTCGCTGAAGGATCAAGGTAAATTATTAATTATTCCGAAGATATACAGTCGTCGTCGTATATATTAATACAATAAAGACGACTTTCGATTTCAATTTAAACTTCTAGGTTATTTAAACAGCTTGGATTGGATACACAGAAACATGGAAACAAATGTGAAACTTCCAATTCGACAGCCTCTCTTTGTTTACTTGTAAACTTGCAATTTTAAAAAAAGCTTGTTAGAAATCAAAACTTAAATCGGAAAGCAGTCTTCATTGTATTGATTTCAAGGCCTGTAGCAAATATCGTAGCAATCCCCATATTTGTTAACCTGAGCATACCTAGATATATTAAACATGAACTACGTAACATGATTAAAACATGCATTGTGATTAGATTAACTGCGGTTATATCTATCCAAGTTAATCCTTTAAATACGTATATTTAACTTAAACTGCACTGTAAACATGTGTGGAGATAGCTTAACTACGTTATATCCATCCTCGCAAATTTCTTTTAAATACATACATTAAATTTTAACTGTGTAGTAAATCTCTAACATTTGGGATCGATAAATAGCTTGTTTGACAGAAAGGCTTGTGTCCCTGTGTGAAATTTAAAGCACTGAATTGATAGCTTGGTTTGATAGCTACCGAGGTCGCGCCCAGTGGTATTGGCATTGATAGTTCGCGGGATTGTAAACGTGTGGGTCGTGTCCTGGTTGACTTTGATAGCAGACAGGTTGTTCCTGAATAGATACATTTCAAGAACTTGTTATGGAGTAGGCGTTTACTACCACGCCGACCACTGTATAATAAATAAAAGAGAGAGAAACTAAATATTTCAAAATGGATTTTTGACGGGATTTATGTGGTACAGACTACAAAGTTGTGAATCCGTATTTTCGCTATTCGTCACGCAAAACATTGATAGAGTTAAGAGTTTAGGAGTTTTGAAGTGTTGAAATTTTGAAGTGTTGAAGTATTGAAGTGTTGAAGTGTTGAAGTGTGGAAGTATGGAAGGGGGTGTGTGGAAGTGTGGAAGTGTGGAAGTGTTGAAGTGTTGAAGTGTGGAAGTGTGGAAGTGTGAAACTGTTGGAAGTGTTGGAGTTGTCAATAAAATAAGATTAATAATTAAAAGAATGAAAATAATTGGTTAGAAAGTAAATGATTAAAAAGTAATTTTTTGTGTTATGAATAATATTCTTTTTACCATCTCCTACAAAAAAAGTCAGTTTAGCCTAACCTTCTTTTAATGATAAATACGGAGTGTCTCACTAAACATTAGAATTTGAAGACGTCCAATCAGAATATTGAAATAAACATTCATTTAAACAGACCGTCTATGTAAGGTAGTTAAACTGAGTATGAAGTGTTGTGGACAAATTCTTTAGGATTCATTTGAGACATATACAACTTTTTAAGACCTGTAAAGTTTGAGCGCAAAGTCGACGTTCAAAATTGTACTTTTTGATGGATACATTTTCAGAATTGTTTTTTTTTATTATTAAATAATGTCGACAAAAAATGTTAACAAAATTCTGCATTAAACTAATTCGATGTTTAAGAACAGGTTGAGTAAATAAAAATCAACTCATATCATCAAAAATAAGTAATCTTGTTCAATTATTAGTTTCTATAATCTCTCTTTAATCACAACGTTTGAAGAATTTGAAGAAATCTGCGAACAAATTCATAAAAAATAAGAAAATGATGAAAATGATGAAAAAGGAAATAATTCATTTTAACTTCGATTTCTTGACAGATTTCTTTTGAGAAATATGTTCCATAAACAACTGATTAGAATTTTACTATATTTTTTGTCGTCGTTATTTAATAATTAAAAACATTCTGAAAACGTACCCACCAAATTCATGATTTTGAACGTCGACTTTGCGCTCAAACTCAGTAATTATACATCGTGGAAACGTTTTATATGTCTCATATGAAACCTAAAGAATTTGTCCACAACACTGCATACTCAGTTTCACTACCTTACATAGCCGGTCTGCCCCTTTAATAATGTTTTAAACCAGCTTTAGAACCCAGCTTTGCCTGGAAAGCTAAACTTTTGTTATACAAGGCAACATACTCAACTTTGGACTTTTAAATTAAGTAAAAACATCCCTGCAATATTTCTACTGAATTCTAAAAAACTTTTGAGTCAAATCAGCTAAGAGATCGGACATACAAACAGAATAGAATAGAATATACAGGTCTATTTACTGTTTTAATCAAGAATTCCATATTCAATAATAAACTTTGTAGTATTAACATAACATGTAAAGTTGTACCGTACGCACTATATTTCCTAGATTGCCTGAGGTAAGAGTATTACCCCCTGAGAATTACCGATATATTGAAGAATCTAATGTAAAGTTGTACCGTACGTACTATATTTCCTAGATTGTCTGAGGTAAGAGTATTACCCCCTGAGAATTACCGATATATTGATGAATCTAATGACGAAGAATCTAGAAGCTATGATGTTGTTTTACCACCGAAAAAATACAGGTAGTCAAAAAATGTAAATCATAAAAAAATAGATTGATACAGCTAGTGTGACCCCAAAAAACCATGGTAATTTCAACTTTGTATATATTTTGTTTTGATATTCGTAGTAATTTGCATGTAAAACATGATGTTACCCCTATCCAGGAATTTATAAAATGTTGCAAGTCTGTTTTGTTACTTTAAAGTTAGAAATTAGAAATTTTCTAACTCTCATATCATTGTAACCTGTGTTTAGTTTTCCCAAACTTAATGCATTAAACATTTTATGTTTAACTGAGACACCCATGTAGAAAATAATTTACTTGGATCAATTTCAAATTTGTGAAAAAGAATTCATCCTTCTTAAAGACCGAATCAACATTATGTGCTTGACATTGAGCAAACCTCATCAAATATCGACAATTATTGACCCTTTATTGACCTTTTTTACGTAACAATGGACGAAACAAGAAGCTATTTGACAATTTGAAGAACAAGTCCCAGTGTGAAATTATAAATTCAAAAAATTAAATTTCCCTGTGTTTAAACAAATTCTTTTATTAGACACTTACTGGACCAGCTTGACTATTTTGATGAAGGCCGATCAGCTGGCAACGAAAAATATCGGCCGGATATGCGAAACGGTCAAACATATGTTAGTGAAGAACGGATTCGCTCCAATGAAAGAAGTGACCAAGGAACAAGAAGAAGTCTCCAAGAGGTGTTTAAAGATGAAGAGAATGAAAGTATGGTGACGGCTGAGCAAAGATTGAGTTCCAGGTATAATAGTGAACGAAGGTCAACTCGATTTTGAACAGGACCGACCCCTTGACCGGCCTTAGTACCACCCCGCTCCTATTTCACGTCGGCCCTGCAGTTTTTACTTTAATGGAGCGGCCAGAGTTTTTTACAGCTCCTGTCCCATAATAGGCCTTCTTTACTTACTCCACTATAGCTTAGTTTAGTGTGCTATGTAATTAATGAAATAATGTTTATTGTGAAATTTTAGATCTCATTAAAAGTACATAAACTTTTAAGTACTGGAAATGCATTGCTGCATATTTATTCAAAGGAATTTATAAAAAAGTTTTTAAAAAAATCCAGGGAACGGGGGTAGGGGGTCGGGAGTGAATCTGAAATATTACAAAACCACCAGTAAATGTTGTAACATTGTTTTTATCCTTTCCTCCTGCATTGGAATGCTGTAAATAATATTTTCAGGAGAAAAAAGTCAAACGGAAAATTTGGTGGAGTTCCAGGGACCGCAGGACGCGATTTTCCGACACTGAGTTCAATTCCGGTTACAAGGTAAACCAACATTGGACTCTTCTTTTTCTTCCGAGTTTCAACCATATACTGACCAACTTTGTACTCTTTTCTGACCGTCTTTCAATCAAATTTGACCAATTTTGAACCTTTTTTGGACCGATTTTGCACCATTATTTGACCAATTTGAACCCTTTTCTGAACGATTTTCAACCATAATTTGACCAATTTGAACCCTTTTTTGACCGATTTTCAACCATTATGTGACCAATTTTGAACCCTTTTTTGACTGACGTTGACCAATTTTTCGATGTATTTTTAACTAATTTTTGTCTGACTTACAATTGATTTCAGCAAAGTTATGACAAAAAAATATTTTTAGCTGTATTCTTCAGATAAATTTATGCCTTCTCCCCCCCCCCCCCCGGGCATCCGAATTATTTCGTGATGTTTCCAGTTTTATTAGTAGCTTTCAGAACATAGTACAAGGATTAATTTTTCCTTTTTTCTTCAATTAAGTTTGTAACTAATGAACCTGATTTTTATTAGAAATCAAGTTTTTTAAAACAGGGAGTTCTTTTCCTTCTAATCCCTATATATTTGCTACAAACTCTGATTTTCTAATTCCTATATATTTGCTACAAACCCTGATTTTCTAATCCCTATATATATGCCACACACTCTGATTTTCTAATCCCTATATATATGCCACACACTCTGATTTTCTAATCCCTATATATATGCCACACACTCTGATTTTCTAATCCCTATATATTTGCCACAAACTCTGATTTTTTATCCCTATATATTTGCTACCCAAATCCAATGTCGTAGACCTTAGATATTTTAAAGAATTCTGTTAGAACAATTTGTCCATGGTTTAAAATATCAAAGGTTTATACCATCAGGTTGAAAAGATATAGGGATTAGAAAATTGTTTGTTTATTGTGGCTAAGATTCAACTCCTTTTCTAGTTTTTCTTGTATTGGAACTAAAGCTGGGTTCTACGCTGATGTTGAGGCCAACTGTCAGGTAAGAAAATAACAAAATTTTTTAGTTTTTTAATCCTTATATTTAAACATGATGATGTAATCCTTTCATATTTGAAACTTTGACTATTAGAACTAGCAAAATTAAGAGTTTGAATTATCAGGTTGTAAAGATATAAATTTGAATTACCTATTTTACAGAGTCCGATTGGTTAGTATACTTTATCATAATTTTTCTTTTTTCTAAATTCATACTATTAAAGGCCGGGTTTGTGCTTTTCTTTCTAAAAATTTATTATTTCAGAAGAAGACTTTCAGATCTTGCATTAGATAAAAGAAAGGAAAATAAGAGAATACAGTCAAAAAACGGCGAAATTTCCCTCATTGTTGATATGATAACGCGTCACGTGACCTCAATAAAAAGATTTAAATGCCCGATTAACAGAAGCCCCCTTTAGGCTTCTGTAAATCGGGCATTTAAATCTTTTTATCGAGGTCACGTGACATTACATCGACAGTCCCTTTAACGCTGCTTTATCTAAGGTTTACCATTACTGCCATTTTGATGGAAGGCAGGATAGTTTTCTTTGCTCTAATGGAACTGTGTTTAATCAAAAGGTAGGTTTTTACAAGTTTTTATAAAAAAGCTCTTTAATTTTGTCCTTTTGCCCAAAAATAACCAATAAAATAACAAGAAATCGAAAAAATAAATAAATTTTTCTATAAAAAGTATCAAAAAGGATGTAAGAAAAGGTCTAGCTTTTGATGTTTAATGTTTAATTTTTTTTTACAAATAGCCATCCCCTTTTCCAAAAAAGAATAACCAATAAATTGAGAATTCTTGAGAAGATGAGATAATATTTTTATTTATTTTGAATATTTCTATAACATCTAGCCGAAAAAATTATCTTTATATCATTTATTATATTTGCTCCGGGTTATTTGGGAGAGAAATAAATTGAAAAACCACTACTAGTCTTGTGCTATTCAGAGACGAATACAGAAGATTATTATCATCCTAATTTCTACTAAATATTTTATTATAATATTATTTCCTTGAAAGTATTTCATTCTTCATTATTTCTACAATTTCATTTTTTTATCTTATTAATAAAACAATGGACGATTCTTCAAATAATATCATTTTCATTCATCACTCCATCTCTACAATTATTTTTATTCTTTTTGCAGAATTCAGAAACAAGTTTGTTTGGAGCAGTTGAGTCTGGAAAACAGAATACCTTTGATCTCAGTCAGCTCAAAGCCTTACTTGAGGTATTTAATGTTTGGCTTTCTTTTTTCCACAATGTACAAATGCAAATTCTTTCTTTTAATTTCACAAAAGTTTTTTTCAGAACACATGATTTTCAATCCCCTTCTTTTGTCGATCCCGTTGAAGATTACAGACCATCAATTGATTCAAATTTCAGGTATCCTCCAACGATATTGAAACCATTGTCAAGTCACCACTGAATGACAAGGCAAGATCACTTAAACTTTTCAAGAACGAGAAACCTGATATTTTTGCCCGGCTCGTTGCAATAAGTGAAAGAGCTAAAATGAAAAAGGAGAGTAAAGATGATTCTGTTGAAGAAGTTGACATTGTACCTGTAAGCAAGGGTTCAGATAGTGCTGATGTGGTTGAGTATGAGTCTAGACCCAATGGTGGGTTCTCTGTGTATTACACTCTGCCAGAATCTTCTGAATCTAAATCAGACAAGCTTCAGCAACTTATAGACAGCATTAATAACAATATTGGCGAGGATGCTGCTGAAGATGAGAGTTATGAAGATTTTACAAGTAACTCAGAAGAATCCACTGAGGATTATTCAAGGGAATTATATGATCTAAGTAAATATTATGCATTTGCACATAAGCAATTATTTTCCCCCTAAATATACAGCCGTTGTAATTTTGAGTGATTCTTTATTTAGAGATTGCCCATTCACAATAGTACTTTTTAAACCATGTTAATATCAGTAATGCTGACAATATAGTTGTTTTCTCCTTTAAACATGTTTGATTTGAAAAATTTCATAAATCATTTTGGCAGCATTAATCCATAAGTAAGGGCAAATCTTTATAACGTTTAATATCATATGATCATCCAGCTACAAGTCTGAAGCTTATGAGGCAGACTATTATGAGACTGATTACTATTCAGATGATGATGGTAAAACTTCAAAATATCTGACGGAGCCCCCGAGTATATCCCAGGATTATTATGATCCTGGGCCACCTGATTCTTACTATGATGAATATATAGAAGATGGTGCAGAGGACAGGATGATGGTGGAGTCTTCAACCCCTAAACCAACAATTCTATCGCCTACGGAACAAAAACTAGCCCAGCTCACAAAAACTCTTGAAAAGTTTAAAAACTCCAGGATGTTAAAAGGTAAAGTAAACAGGGCAAGGAGATCCTCAGATCATGTATATACTGTGAATAATGTAGATAATACTAATCCTAATGCTAACCTTTATGATGTCCAAACATTTGAGTATCATTCAGAATATCCTGAAAAGAGTATGGATTATATTCCATACCCTTTTCAAGATGAGCTCTCTGATGATTTTGATTATGATGTTTATGACAATGCAGACAAAAGTGATGATTATGAGTCATCATTTGACTTATATATGAACAAGCAAGAGCAAAAAAAAGATGGCACACCTATTGTATCTAGAACATGGTTAGACAATGTGATACAGTTTCGTGATGGACTTTTTGGAAAGCATGATTTAAAAAATGCAGACTATAACGATAACAATCCAATAGGAAATCCGCAAGTAAAGATTCACTATCCAGATTTTGATAAATCACCGCTCATAACTGTGACACAAGCAAGGAATGCACCCTTAAAATATGCACTGAGCACATTTTTTGCTACAAGAGTTGATGAAATTGGGAGAACAGATCCAACCATTTTTATCAAAACACAAGAAACCACTATGCAAAATGATTATGTAACTAATTCAACTGCAAACAATATTGTTGGTTTAAACCAAACTTCTGCTCAGCTAGAAAACCCAGCAATTTTACAATCTCCTGGTTTGACCATGAACCAAAGTTTCAGCTCTGATATGTTTGCTTCTTTTTTGTCACCTGTAAATCAGAATTTATTTGATCCTCTCTCAAGATTAACTAATTTGGGAGAAAACTCTCTTACAACAACAACAGTGTTGTCTCGTAACAAAGTTAAAGAATTTGGAATTAAAAGAATAAAAGAAATTTACACCAAAAAATTAAACAAAATGGAAAAGAATGTGAACACAACCTTAATTACCCACAATGTTCAAAACAAAAATATTCATGCTGATGATACAGTTGACAAAGATTACTTTAGTGATGAACCTCTTGATTATATTGAAGAATACCGGGGGGATGTTTATCCTTTAAAGTCTAAGCCTACCTATCAATATCAAGAGAAACCACACTACACTGAGAAATATCCTAAGTACAACGACTACATTCCAAACAATTATGCGTATTACCCTTCTTCTACAACCCAGCCACCTTTACAGATTAGACGCCCTAACTTACTGCCAAGAAAACATGTCGGATACAATTATTCTCCTACATCTAGACCTTTACACAGGAGTAGTCCAACAAGACACCCAGAGCTTGAGATTAATAAACCACATTTATTACCAAGAAAACATGGAGTGTATGAAAATTTTCATCAACCACTGATTCAGCATTCAGAGCAGAGACAACTTCCATCCTATTCCAATGATCAGGAACAAACAGTGCTGCCAGACCTGGTTCGACCACTGAAACCAACCCCACCCTCTAGCAGACAGTATCTACCCTCCTCTAACATTCCTCAACCTCCAGTACCCCATAACTACTTAGAACACAGTTTTATTCTTCAACTAGAAAGAAACAATTATGGTCATCCAAGAAGAAGAAGTAAATCTGAAGACTTGACTGATTCTGATGAAATGGATTCAGATTCTAATAATGATTTCTATGCACGCTCCCCACCAGGTAAAAGCAACCAACCACCACCTCTATTAAGAGAAGGGAAACAAAAGTTTCCTCGATTGGATGGTCAATATCCTCCACTGCTTAATGATTATCTTCCTCCAACGTTGTTTGACACACTTCCAAAATTGCCTCTACAGAATTATGAAAGTTTCCTTCTTCCGCCTACGCTGGGGACATATTTACCACCTAAATTAACAGAACCAAAGAATAATGAAAAACATGATTTGAAGTTTTCACCACCAAAACTAGGAATGCTAATTAAAAATCTTTTGGTATAAATTCAAAAGTTTTTATTCTGTTCATTTATATTGAAAATTACTGCAACAAAACAAACACTGTTTCATGCCTTCCTTTTAAACACGGTGCTTAGGATCCATTTAATTTGATCCGGATCCCAGAACCACACTGATCCAGACTGGATCCAGGTTATGAACCATTCAGAGATAAGAACATTTTTAATGATATTTCATTTTTCAACCATTCAGATTTGAGTTTTGAGATCAAATGTTTTTTTTTGCAGTTTGTGGTTAATATTTTGCCCTTGGATTTGGTTAATATTTTGCCCTTGGATTTGGTTAATATTTTGCCCTTGGATTTGGTTAATATTTTGCCCTTGGATTTGGTTAATATTTTGCCCTTGGATTTGGTTAATATTTTGCCCTTGGATTTGGTTAATATTTTGCCCTTAGATTTGGTTTCTTGACTCTACATATTTTCCTGCGGATCCTAAGCACTGTTTAACATAGAAAAAATTCCTGACTAGAAAAATTCAATCAATTCAAGCATTACTTTTTTATTTCATTAGCTGTTTCCTAGGAGACTACCTTCCACCTAAGTTGGATGAAAATATTACTTCCTCTTTAGAAAACTACTCAAAGTACTATCCACCTAGAATTACAGATACCTGGCCACCATTGATTCATGAAGAAAAGAAGAAAATAAAATATCCTGGATCCCATCTGCCCCCACTACTGAGTGACTACGTACCCCCAACCCTTTATGATAAACCTGAATCTAAGTCACATGCTCCAACTGGTAAAGGAACTGATTTCAAGGAACCTCATATTGTTTACCCAACAAACAGTGGAGAAAGTTTTACACAATATGAAAATGCATGGAATATGAATGAATCAACAGTTTTCTCCCACCGGGAAATTACTCTAGGTTCACAGATTCAATCCAAACCAGAGCAGGTTATTCTAAACTCAAAGAGGTTTTATCAACAATTGGTTACCACCCCCCAGACTGACGAAACACAAGTGTATAGAAAACCAATGGCTGAACATGACAGCCCAATAAACCCTATAGAATACACCACAATTAATATAAATCCAAAAAGCCCTGGTATCAATATTGTAATTAAAGATAAACCCCGCGATACAGGTATTAACAGCTCAATTCCATCGCCATCTAGCAGTGAAACACTTGACGATTGGTATGATGATGATGATGAATCATACATGACACAACCAGATTATCAACCACTTCAAGATAATAATCTGCTCTTGTCAGTGCCAGGTGTCGGAAGTAAGGAAGGTCCTGCACCTAATGCTTCAAAGCCCAGCCTTGTTCCTGAGATCAATTACAAACCAGTATTCGAGGAAAACCAATATCTTCCTTCATCTGAGGATAATACTCAGTATTCTAAGGATAACTCAAAACCGGGAATATACTCTACAGGAAAGGAATAATAAAATATGCTCTAAATGAACTTCCCATAATATAACAATACAAGGTTTACAGGGTGTTCCAGGCTTTTCAATTGTTAGCTTTTTGTTGAAGATTGAAAAATTCTTTCTTTTTTTGTTCCTCCAAGTTCAAATTTAAAAAATCAACATTCTGTTTGAGTTATTTTCCTGGGCTCAATTATGTAGCACTATTGACTTAGCCATTTTGACATTTATTAAATGCAAAGAATCGCCAACCAAAGTCAAACAAACAGGCAAAAATATTCCCGTAAATCTCAACCTGGCACAATCTTGGTTAGTAGTAGTAATCTCTGCTTGGGTGTTTAACATTTTTTTATGCTCAATCATAACTCATGATGCGAATTTGCCTCAAATTTTGATTCGGAAAGTTAGCAGAACCACGGTAATGTTCTTTGTTTGGTTTAAACATTTTCCATTGAGCGGGTCAGCTTTTTATAGAGAAAGTTTACCTTCCAGGCAAAGCTGGTTTTCCAAGCCAGTATTTTATATTTCCTTTTACTAGTTGAGAACCCATTATACAGATATCAATTCGAACAGAAGAAAAACATTCATAACAATTCAAAAATAGAAAATACGCAAGAACCACAGCCAAGCAAAATTGTAACCACAGTTCATTTAAATGGGACAGAATCTACTGAAAGTACAGTTTCTGTAATCCAAGATTCTAAAAGTTTTAAAACAAGGAAAAACAGTCCAGTTGTTGTAAAAAGTTTGCCTACAGTGCCATGTGTTGGAGCTTCTAAGTTCTTCATACAACAATGTGTTCTCACTAAAAGAGCAAACTAATATTTAATATATGAACCATATTGGAAATAATATCATATTTCATTTTCACTAAGAACAATATTGATCTGAATTTATTATTTGGTTTAGTCAATTGAAAAAAATTGAGGTGATTATTGTTTTTTTCTTGGAATAATTTTCATATTTATGTGGCCTTAAGGCTTATGTAAACTATAAATGTTTACTTATATTTTTCAAAACAATTAAAAAAAATTTCAAAACGGTAATTATGTCATACCTTAGTCCCTCTATTGTTCAACATGAAAAAATTTGTTATTTTTTATGTTTTATAACTTATAAGGTCCTTTATCATGTGTCAAGTTCAATCACCTGCTTAACAGGGTTACCCACAAAAGATGAGACTGAAAAGATGAATTGATTCTTTTAAAATATGAATGTTAAATTAAATATTCTGCCCTTGAATATAGTCTTTTTAAAGCTTACTTTATAATTTGAAGAAAAAAAAGAAAATGAGTCTTTGGAACAAAATCAAATCTTCTTATCCCAATATATTTGCATCCTTACAGTGTAAACCTTTGATTTTTCAAACTTAGACTTCTTGATTTAGCAGATTTCATAGTTTGAAATACTAAAGGTATTCAACATTAGGTTGCAAAGATATTGAGATCAGAAAATTGGAATTTGTGGCTAAGACTCAATTCCTTTCCAGCTTGCAGGAAATCATGAAGTCTCATTTATGGGTAACCCTGTAAAGCAGGTGATTGAAATTGGCACATAATGAAGGACCTTAAAGTTATAAGATTTTTTATTATTTTTTATCCGTAAAACAATATTTTTTGGCAAAAATCAAAAATTTTCACGAGAAAGGACCTTCTTGTGCACATTTATAGTCATATTTATAACACATTTATTAGGTAGTAGGACACACATGTAGGACATATATTCGTAACACAGACACAGCCCGATAAACATAGGACAGACAAACGAAGGACAGAATCATATAGGACAGGCAAATATGGTCAAGGCTAGTATATAAGTCAATACAAAGTATAAGATATAAGACAAAACCCCAGTAAAGTTTGTGTTTCTTCATTGCAGATTTCAAAGATTTTAGATATAAACAATTGTCACAAAACTATAATTTTCTAATCCTTATCTTCATCCTGAAGTTGTTGACTATTGATATTTTAAACTATGAATTCTGTTTTTTACATAAAATAATCGATGTTTAAAATATTAAGGTCTCCACCATCAGTTTGCAAAGATATTTAGGGATGAAAAAATAGAGTTTGTGTAGACTGACCGTCCAACTTGAGTCTCTGTCCTACGGTAGTCCTACCCCACGTTTAACCTGTCTTTGTCCTGCCTTACGCTTAACCGGTCCTACTAAAGTCCTGCAACATGCTTAACCTGTCCTATCTGTGTCCTGTCTCACATTTAACCTGTCCGCATAATGTTGTCCTGCCCTACGTTTAACCTGTCTGTTTACTGTTGTCCTGATGTCCTAACGTTTAACTTGTCCTATATTTGTCCTGTCTCACGTTTAACCTGTCCTACCATTTTCCTAGTATTTCTGATCATGCACATTACATTAACACACTAAATTACAATGCACAACTTTAATGTAAATAAACATCCAGAGGCCAAATTTAATGAATTTAAGCCGCGTCTCAAATCCCCCAAAAATCGGTTTCAATTGAGCGCCGGCTTATATTTTGAAAAATTTAATACAATTTTAAGTGGAACCAACCATATTTGAGCCCCGACTTAAACTTAAGCCGTGGCTCAAATTCTTTAAATTCGGCCTCAGACAACTTTAAAATTAATCCTAAAACTGTATAAATTGTATTTTTGTGTTGGGGGGGGGGGGGGGGGGGGGGGGGGGGGGGGGGGGGGGGGGGGGGGGGGGGGGGAGGGATTTTGGGTTCCGCAAAAAACTCCTGTTTTTGGTTTTTAATTCACACAAAAATGTAACAAACTTTTTTGTGTTATGATATCTGAAATATTATCCCTAAACATTACAAATGTTATACTCTTGTAATATATTATTTATTTGTTTGCTAAGGGTTAGTTGAAACTAATCCTAAAACATTTCATATTTAAATATTTATAATTTTGTTTACGGGATTATCTTATAAAAAGAAATACAAAAATAGAAAATGTTTTCAAGTTTTCTCTCTCCACCGTAATCCTTTCTTATACTGAAGATTACACACTGCTCATCTTTTCTCACATTCATGCAAAATATTTTAAAATTTAATTCAAAATTAAATATTTTGAATAAAAATATTTACTAAAGATTAATTTAAACTAATTTTGTAAGTATCAAAGCATGTATTACAGTCTAAAGGGGCTGTTTCTTTGTTTTGTTGTAGAAATCCCCCCCCCAAAAAAAAAAAAAAATAACAAAACAAAAACAAAAACATGTCTAACCTACAAAGTGTTTAGAATAATGTTTGTGAAATATCTAATGTGATTAAACGGAAGGATAAAGTAAAAGTATTGATCGTAGTTAAAAAAAGTGTAGACAAGTAAAAAAAAGTTTGGAACTTTTGTGCAGAACAATGCAATCTTTAGTATAACAGATGTTGAATTGATAATGGAGTTTGACTAAGGTAATTTGCATGAAACTAAACTGCATGAAATATATGGATCCATAGTTTAAATTATTCTGTACCATATGCTGATGGTTTTTAACTAGTTTTTATTATAAAATATTTCAGGTTCAGGAACTAAGCTTATTCCGCAGATCTACAAACCAGGTTTCATTTTTATATTTTATATTCCGCAGATCTACAAAGCAGGTTTTCATTTTTATATTTTATATTCCGCAGATCTACAAACCAAATTTTCATTTTTACATTTTATATACCGCAGATCTACAAACCAGGTTTCATTTTTATATTTTAAATTCCGCAGATCTACAAACCAGGTTTTCATTTTTACATTTTATATTCCGCAGATCTATAAAGCAGGTTTTCATTTTTACATCCATTAAAATAAAAATTTTGTGGATATTTTGGCTTTCATTAATGATGGATTCATTTAAATTTTTAAAGACCCATTTTTTAAATTTTATCCCCAAGTGTTTGTTACATTTGAGATCAATCGGTTCAGCCGTTTAGACTTTTAATGGATACAAACAAACAGGAGAACCTGAATGAAGTATTTTATCAATTTTTAAGTTTCCAACCATAGAACAAAATTCAGATTGAAACATGATCTAAAAATTTATTTTTTATTTTTGATAACTAAAGAATAAATCACTGACTGTTTTTAAAACATGGGTGAACAAATGTCTAAAACTTGCTAGTAAAGATTACTTGCCTCAAACTAAAATTTGTCTACTCCTTATATCTTTGAATCTGACGGTGTAAAAACCTAGACAAACATTAAGTATCTTACTGCCTTTATAGTTCTTTTCATATTTTCGATCGATCTGTTATCGTTTTTTTTGAAACCATCTTGATATGTCTAAAAACTATTTTTTCAAAAATTGTCAAAAATAAAACAATTCCTTTTGTAAAGTAAATGATCATTATCCTCAAACTCATATTTTCGTATCCTTATATCTTTGCAGCCTGAAGTTTCAAACATCAAAGATTTATATATACTATTTCTGTCTAATAAAATAGTCAACGTTTATCAAAAGTTGCAAAGATAAAGGGATTGGAAAATTTAGGGTTGAGACGAATGATCATTGATCAGTTACCAACAATCAATAAAATGTTGACATTTTTTCATTTTTAGTGACAGCTGAGCCGCCCCCGACCACAGCCCGATACAACCCTGTCACCCATCGTATCATTCCAGTAGATTTTACACCCTCTTCATCAACCAATACAAGCAGTGAGGGGGGACCAGGATTTCTAAACCTATTTGCAACCATGAATCCAGGGCGGATAGAGGGTTCTACCCTTACTCCAGACTATATTTTCCCAGTTGGACACATTGGAATAGACAATCTGGAGGAGCTGAGACAACTTACTCAATCACAGTTCAGTAGACGATCTGATAACACGGAGATAGTTAAACCTGCTCTTGAAACCTGGAAAATGAAAAATCTGTCCCAGGAGATAGAGAAAAGGAAAAATCCGTCCCATGAGATAGAGAAAAGGAAAAATTCGTCTCATGAGATGGAGAAAAGAAAAAATTTGTCATACAAGATGGAGAACAGGACAAATTCTGATTCTGAAAACAAGATTAAAGCTCTCCAACTTCTTGTCCAACAAAGCATTCAAGAGAGTATCCTGGGCAACAAAGCCAAGAGTAATAAAGGCAAAATTAATAATAGACAAGAACCTAGTGTTAACAAATTCTCTGATACATCTAATCAACTCCAACCAAATAAAAAAATTCCTTCACTTTCCGAAACTGAGACCCTCACAGTTCCAAAGTTGAGGTTTGACGATGATACCAGTTCTCCCAGTATTTTGTCTTTTTTGGCTGAATATGGACTGGGAAATTTTGAGAAAACTAGAAGCATCGAAACCCAGTTTCTGGAGCCTGCTTATCCGCCAATCTTCAATCACGATGTTGAACAGAATAAGCAAGCTGGACTTTTTTACGAACCTCAAACTAATGGTTTTCTCTTTTCCTCAAATCCTGGAAAATATCCAGAAACTAATTTTCAAGTTGTTCAAACTAATAATCCAAATATTGGTTTAAATCTAGTCAAACCAAGAAATCTTAATGACATTCATTTCCAAACCAATCCACAGATGTTTGACAATAATTACAAGTTACAAGTTGAGAAACCGGAGAACTTTATACCCTCGGAACCAGAGTTTAAGCGAACCCCACCGGAGTACCTACCCTTTCTACCCGGAGCCAGTGGAGACCTTACTGCGTCTTTCTCAGATCTGATATCAGGGGAACCTAAATCTGGATTCTCAGAGTATAGTTTTGATGGCATTGTGGATACAAGACGACCTGAAGGTTCCTGGCCTGGTTTTGATGGGATAACGTCTAGGATTGATAGGATGAATCCAGGTCACCTTGAGACCTGGGAGTCTGGTGGTTTAGCTCCAGGTTTCCAGGTTACCACAGATGGTTCACGGAACCGTCAGCTTCAAGCACCTCAGGGAGCCAGATATATTTATACATATGTTAATTAGAATTAACATTGTTCTTAAATATTCAAGTTTAACTTATACTGGAAACAATTAGTTACTTTATTAATACTATTCACGGAGCATAAGTTAAAATCCTTTTTTTTAGATAACATTAACAAATTATAATTTAAAATTATACTTACATCCTCCCCCCTATCAGTGCAATTGATTTATCTTGAGAGAAACAAATGTTTACATGATAGTATTCAGTTTGTTTTCACAATAATTAAAATTTATATCTGATGGTTAATCTGCAGGTGCTGGATGGGACTGAGTTGACCCATCTGAAACAACAGCTGAAGTTAACGCAGGCCTCACAACAGCAAATGCAGCAGCAGATCCAAGCAATACTTGGAGACAGAGCCCCGGAAACACCTGCTCATAACCTGCCATTTCTTCCTGGCGGTTCAAATCAGCTGATTTCAAATCATAATCAGCTTATCTCCAATCCTAATCAGCTGAGTTCAAGCCCAAATCAGCTGACTTCCAATCCAAATCAGCTGATCTCCTATCCAAATCAACTAATCTCTAATCCAAATCAGCTGATTTCCAGTAAATCTCAAAATAGAAATGTTAAAAATCCTCCAAAACCAGAATCAACAATGGCGTCACCTGACAGTTTTCATGTGTTGGGACCAAACTGTTACATTAAAACAGAAACAGAGTTTAAACTAATCGGTCCAGCAAGTTTATGTATTAAAGATCGAAAATCAAACTCAAAATCAATTTGGGATTCCCTCACCTCAATTCCAATTCTCAACACATTTGCAAAAACAATAGGTTTCGAATCGTAAAAGAAGCTTTTGCACTTCTTGATTACAGGGTGATATTTTTGGGTACTGTTACATATTGGGGATTGTAAATTTAAACATATGTTATGAGGCAGCTATAAAAAGTGAATATCAAGACTTAAATTAATATACATTTGTCATACTCTTTAATTTGTTTGTGACGTGTGTTTGTATGAAATTGTGTCAATAAGATGGAAGTGTTAACGAAAAACAGGAAAAATTTATTTGAATCATGCTAAATCGGGTCTATTTGGTTAGATCTTGTTTACTTCAAGGTATTTCTATGGCATGGTTTTACTTTTATTGTAAATAGATTCCTAGAAGTAACAAGTAACAATTTTTAACAATTTTTAACAATTTTTAACAATTTTTAACAATTTCCAAACCCGAGTTTTTCTGCCTGTGAGAGTAAAACCTTTTTTTGCCAGTTTGGACAATTTACAATTTTTAACCATTTATAACACTGTTATTTTGGTTCGCAGTGTTATAAAGTTTTTGGGCAGACATTTTCTTTTTATCTCTTCGAGATATAGAGAAAATTTAAGTCCATGAACTTTATAGGACGTCGTGCCAAAATGATAGTGTTATAGGTAATTTTATGAAACGTTTGTGTACTTGTCTCATTTCAATGTCTAGATCAAATAAGCTTTGAAACAAAGCAGAAGTCAAAATATAAAGTTGATTTAAATTTTATTTTCATTTCAATTGAAAAAAAATATTTTGGAAATATCCAATTTTTTTGGAAAAAATCCGGGAACCAATCAAAACTTTATAGCAAACGTGCTATAATTACATATCGTATCTTGACATAATTACACAATCAGCTTACAAAGATATAAGGATTTGCAAATACTAGTTAATGGCGCGTAATCAACTCCTTTATCTGCGAAGATTCCCTGTCATTTCTCTAGAAAATACCCACAAGATATAGAAAATGTAAATATATCACCAGAAGAATAAAAAGCTCTCTAGGGAGGTACAACATTTTAGTATTCACATATTTAGCTAAATTTTCAACATTTCTTTGAAAGAGGATATTTTTCAATTTATTTCCTGTAAACGCTCTCAAAAGATACATTAAGATCGGGAAGATCATGAAAACTATATTTTATCACAACATTCGACGATACTGAAGTAACCTAGGGATGATCCATTTAGGAAAGTATTGCAGGATTATTTTTGAGGGTTTCTATGTTTTTCGAGCAAACTCTGTAGCTAATTACGTAAATGTTGAATAATGTGCTGTATCTCACATTATTTTGGGTTAGGCTGGATTAAGACATTTCCGGGCCGAGCGCTGCAGCTAGAACGGGTGAGTGGGCCGAGCGCTGCCTCCTCTTAAATGTTGAAAAATGTGCTGTCTCTCACATTATTTTGGGTTAGGGTTGGTTAAACAAAAAATTTGTGGGCCGAGCGCTGCGACTAGGAATGAGCTAGGGGGCCGAGCGCTGCGACTAGGAATGAGCTAGGGGGCCGAGCGCTGCGGCTAGGATTGAGCTAGGGGGGCCGAGCGCTGCGGCTAGGAATGAGCTAGGGCGCTATTTCATGTTAAGTCTTTAAGAAGATGTCTAACTTGTGTACTAGAATAGAATATCAACTGTATCATTATAAAAATATAAAACTTTTATAAATTCAAAATAAAATTAGCTATAGAACTTTTTGGGAGTGAGTTAAGTGAAACGTAATTGGGGGAAAACGTAAATTTGGATGAAACATGAAGGGGGTGAAATGTGATATTGGGTGAAACGTTTTGGTTGAAATGTGATTGGGTGAAACGTGATTGGGCGAACTGTTACCACACCAAATAGACACGGGGAGGTTATGTCGGTTATTATGAGAATGGAGAAATATAAGGAGGAGGGGGACTACATGAATTTGTATTGCCTTTGTTTGGAGGCACACAGAATTGTATAAAATATAAAAAGTTTAAAATTCTTGGATGGAAAATTTCATAAATAACACGCAGAATTTCAGGATTAATAGGTTTCAGTTTTCCTTTAAAACAAGGTTAGATTAATTTTACGAAAACTAATTTTAAGTTTTCATAAAAAGAAAAACAAAACTGCTGCAAAACTATTTTTCTTCAAGATATTTAAAAATAATAATTCTGAAAGAATTGTCAAAACCTTGAATGAAGAAATATTAATGCTTGACATTTCATGCTTGTTATCAGGTTTATGTGTATTCGGCCTAGGACCCAATAAACGTCAAAACGGCAGAATCAATTTCGTCAAACCGGTTCAGACAAAGTTGTTACTGTAAGGGATGCTTCTCTACAATATGAGGATACTTGAAATTACGATGTACTTTCCCAAAAGTATTTTCCCAAGCGTTAATTGCGTAAGTATTTTCCCGAGCCACAGCAAGTGGCCCCTAGCCTGTTCTAGCCACAGCGAGCGGCCCCCTAGCACATCCTAGCCGAAGCGAGCGGCCCCCTAGCACATCCTAGCCGCAACGAGCGGCCCCCTAGCACATTCTAGCCACAGCAAGCGACCCCATAGAACATCCTAGCCGCAGCACTCAGCTCCTACGTCATCTTGCAGTGCCGAAAACCCAACCTAGTTTTTAGAAATTTCCCTGGGAGTTCTTTAAACGAAGAAAATATTCAAAATAAGTTCTATTTTATTTAAGTGCAGAAATAGGAAATAGAAAACCCAAAGATTGGACATTTACATTTTTATCCCTAAAAGAGATATTTCTTAAACATTTCCTAATTGAAATATACTTTGCGAAAAATGGCGGACTGTCGATGTTTTTTAACAATTAACACTATTTTTTTATTGTTAAAAAATAAATTCATGACGATTTTTTTATGGATAAAGTAATTTTAATATTAATTTGATTATGTTCTTTTTTAAAAACGTGATTACGATGTTTTTTTAGTGTCAGTTCTATTTGTTGTTTGCATATTTTTTTTTCGTATTTAAAAGTTCCAAGGACAATATTTGTAAAATAGGATTAGTAAGTTTCTCTGGAAAAGAAAAATGTTCAAATTTGAAAGGCTTTGAATCTGCTATCTTTTCGAGTCTAATGTATTCTTTTGAAAAGCTTAGCATATCTCTCAATATCTAGAAATAGAATTAAATGCACCGAAAACCTTTTTTAAATAGTGGATTATCTTTCGTAACATTTTTACTCAATACGAACTTAATCATCAAAAACATATTTTATCTTTTAAAACAGACATTATTCAAAAAAATGTAAGATTATTCTGAAATCTACAGTCAGACCTATAAAGCTTTGGATTCGGAAGACGACTTTTGAACTCAAGTTTAAATAGTTCAGTGAGAACGCACCGAAGAATCTCAAGAAACAATTAACATTAAACACATCAATTGAACAGTGTATTGTACACACTACACAGATTCTAAAAATTAAGTTTTCAGCCTTAATAAATTAGACTAGAGCCCATGTCGTCGCCACCATACCAGAGTGTTACAGCTGAAATTGAAAATATGAATTTACCTCTAACCTAAAACTAAGTTCGTATTGTTTGTTATCCGTAGAGATGTTTAAGAGTTTGTTGTTTTGAATAGAGGACCGGTCAGTGGCGTAGATAAGGGGGTTATTGGGGTTAATTACCCCCCCCC